TACAGGAGACAGTGGCAAGGACACAGAGCAGGCCAGGCTGTTCCATCATTTAAGAAGGGAGGTGGCTCTATTCACTCAGGAAAAAGTCAGTGGCAGGGCAGGTGCAGGTGCCAGATGTACCAAGGTGATGCATTCTTCACATATTGCTCAGAACATGCCTTCACATCTCATCAAAACAACTTGCAAAAGCAAGAAAACATCATCCCATAGCTAAATCCCACGTCCGTGCACTCAGAAGGACCATGTACAACTTCATTTACTCTCCAATATGGCCTGTCAGATGAACACTTGTGAATTTGTGGCAACGTTTGCTGTTTCTTTGAAAAGAATCATTTTCATCATTGTTTTTGATGGAAAACAAATTTAGCTAACTTTCAGTTTTTCCCAGCCTCCAGTAATTCTGGTCTGCTCAAGGTATTCAGCCAGCCAGCAGAGAAAGAAAATAAAGGCCAGGCATGGTGGCTCATGTCTGTAATCCCAACACTTTGGGAGGCCAAGGTAGGTGGATCACTTGAGGTCAGAAGTTCAAGACCAGCCTGACCAATGTGGTGAAACCCCACCTCTACTGAAGACTTGGTCTCCCCATCTCTACTAAAAATACAAAATTAGCTGGGCATGGTGGCACACACCTGTAATCCCAGCTTCTTGGGAGGCTGAGACAGGAGAATTGCTTGAATCCAGGAGGCAGCGGTTACAGTAAGCTCAGATCATGCCTTGCACTCCAGCCTGGGCAAAAAGATTAAAACTCCAACTCAAATAAATAAATACATAAATAAAAGAAAAGAAAAAGCATGGGAGCCCAGGAGTTGGAGACTGGAGTGAGATACGATTGTGCCACTGTGCCCCAGCCTGGGTGATAAAGGGGATGGGAGTGGGAGAGAAAGGAAAAGAGAGACACAGAAAGAGAGAGAAAGAGGACGGAAGAAGGAGAGGGGAGGGGAATGGAGAGAGGGGAGAAAAAAAGGCAAAAAGAAAACCACAAGCACACAGGAGAATTTTTAATTGCATTTTAGGTTTCGTGGTACATGTGAAGAACATGCAAGATTGTTGCATAGGTACACGCACTGGCAGTGTGGTTTGCTGCCTTCCTCCCCCTCACCTGTATCTGGCATTTCTCCCCATGCCATCCCCCCAACTCCCCACCCCCTGCTGTCCCTCCCCTATTTCCCCCCAACAGACCCCAGTGTGTAGATGCTCCCCTCCCTGTGTCCATGTGTTCTCATTGTTCAACACCCGCCTATGAGTGAGAACATGCGGTGTTTGATTTTCTGCTCCTGCACACAGGAGAATTTAAAGCAGCTTTGCCATCGAGTTCCTGGGTCCCCAAGCCATACCACACCGTGGACCATCAGCCAGCAGCAGACATTCGTTCTTGCTACACCTGTAACCCCTGCTAGCAAGAGGGTCAATGTGGCGGAATCCCTCGGGAAGGCGGGAACAGAGGACGTTTGTCTCTAAAGGGTTAAATTCTAAGTTAATTCAACTGTGAGCACAGACATGTAACATTGTTTAAGGCAAGATAACAAATTGTAGCCATACAGGATGTGACTGTAACCTGAATGGACATACACTGCAGCTGACCAAGGGAAGCGTCCATCAGAAGCAGGGTGGGCAGCAGGGGGAGGACCAGCAAGGGAAGGTACAGCTGCCCAGCAGCAGGCCTGCCCTGGCATCCGCAGGGAACCGTCGCTGCTCAAGACGGCCAAGCCTCCCAGGGACACAGGCCGGGCCCAGGATCCCGAGCATCTGCTACTTCAGATGTGGTCTTGTCATGGAACAAACCAATACAGCCCTGGTCTCCGGTATGCAGCCACTGAGCTGGTAAACGGTTTTTCTCTATACCTGCTGAAACAGGTTGGGCTTTTGTCCCCTCCAGTCTCAGGTCCGGAAGCTGTCTCTTCCCACCCGGCGGGGGCAGCAGCAGCCTTGGTGGGCGTGCGTCGGGGCTCTGCTACCTGGCCAGTTCCTCCACAAAACCCAGAGCTCTTCTGAGAACCAGCTCTCAGCTTGCTTTCTGGGCCCTGATGAATACTGAAAATCTACACTTCGCCACGGCAGATAGTGACAGCTAGCTGGAACTTGAGTGAACCACCAAAGACTGTTATCTGACCCGTCATGTCACCAGATGAGGCAACTGTGGGAGCATGTCATCGTTACATTCAGGCAAGATGGATGTATTTAATAGAGATATAGGTGAACACACACACACACACACGAGCACACACACATAGGCATGCACACACTGATTAGGCTTTCGCATGTTCTGCGGCACAAGATACATAAGCAGGTGGTTCAGATGCTCTGTGAGCCCATGCTGCTGCACGGGCAGCACCCTCACCACGCCCCACGCTGCTGCATGGACAGCACCCCTGGCCTGGCACCTACTGGCCTCATGGGGAGTTCTCTAGGATCAGTCACCTGAATTAAAAGTTAGATTTGATTTCTACAGAAGATGTTGACACCACCTGAGGGTGAAAGTTGGCCACATTCTAGCCTATTCAAGTGGCCCCAGAGAACAGGATGGGAGAGGCCCATGCCAGTTTATGCATCCTGGTGCTCACTTTTTCTGGAAAGAGTGATGGCCACCAGCATGGATGCTCACGAGTGCTCAGTGGGCAAGTCTGGCTGGTGGATCCGCATCTAGGAGGAAAAGGACTGGAAACCAGTGGCCAGTGCTCCGTGAATGCTCCCAGTAAGCAGGTGGCCCGACGGCCTTTCTCTCCAGTCACCCAGCCTGGCTCAGCGTTCTCATCAACAAAGTGGCTGTGGAGACAGTGAAGGATGCTGCAAATGGCTTCAGCCACATGGGTGTCCTCCCTCCAAGGCTAGCCTGGCTAAGGTCCACTGCCTAACAGGAGAGAGCAGCACAATTCCTAGGACGAAAAACTCACCTGGAAGGAACAGCCAGCTCCCGAGCACATCTGGCCGTGTTCTGGGAGGGACAGAGACACCTCCTGGCCACTGCAGCTGGCTCACAGAAGGCTCCTCTGCTGCACAGGCAGCTTACAGTTCTGCTTCCAGGAGACCCGTTTCACAGCAGAGCTCAGCAGTGAAGCCCATGGCAATCATGATCCCGGCACACCCCTCATCACTTGGGGAGCCTCCCATGCACCGGGCAGTGCTGGCTGTGACGAGGCCCCCTTGGGGGCTGCTGGGTCACCCAAGAAGTGCCCTGCACTGCATCAGTCAGTACGTGGTGTGGGTTCTCCCATGGCCAGAAAACACAAGTGCAGGCGCATGTGAAGCAGGAATGGCTCCTCTCATTAAGACCCTGCACCACTAGCAAGGTTTTGGATTCTCTGCTCACAATTCTGCACTCTGCTGGTTTGGGTGTCTTCATTCCTTGGATGCTTCCACAGAGGGACATGGGTGCACACCAGCTGCAGGTGGAGGCTGCCACCCAGCAGCACTGATGCCTCGTGCCAAGGTTTACTGCTATGGCCAGCTGACTGCTCTCAACTGTCTTGGGGAAATACAGCTCCCACCACAGAATGGGGGCCTGGCAGGAGGTCTGCAGCTTAGCAGATTCTCTAGAGAACTCTTGGTATACCCAAGTCCAGTGATAAGTCAATGGAAACCTACAGTTACCCCAAAGGAGAAAGATTTCTAATGGGAAAGATCTTTTGGGAATGAGGTCTGGGTTGACACATCCGGTGCAACCACAATCCAGAGAGGCACAGGAAAGGAACATGGAACAGTGGCAGAAAGGGCATTTTCAAACACACTTCTGCCAGGTCAGCAGGTGGCAAAAACAGGGCATGCAGTAGCTTTGTGGTCTCATTGCTTTGGTGAGATACACCTGTATCTAGGAGCTAACTCTACTAGTCAGATCTTTATCTCCCTCTTCCCATCCCAGCACCATTATTAGCAGGATGGTCAACCCCACAGTCACCATTTAAATGCAAGTGTATCAGAGAAAGGTGTGACGGCACCATCAAAGAACATCCCCAGAGTGGGAATACTGACACATCAGGGTGAACCATTTTCAGTTGTACAAGAGAAAGTTGTAGCACATTAGCCAGAAGCATTGCACTTATGCAGAGGTGTTGTTTAAAAGGGGCTAGAGCTGAGCTAGCAGAGGGACAGACAGCACGTGCTCAGCTCTGCCGCCCCATGCGGCCCCCAGGTCTCCCCATCTGAAGCAGCCACAGAACGTACATCCTTAGTTGGCTACCAGCTGCACACTGTTAAGGTTTGGAAGGTGGAAAAAGAGAAGCAGTGACTCATGGAGGGTGGGGTGGCCCATGCCCAAGCAGACATGAGGTCAGGACAGCCATCCAGGGGCTTCTTTAGAGCCCCGGCTCTGCAGCCGCCAACTCGGACAGCAGGAACTCCCAGGCACCCTCAAGAGTTGCAGTGGCTGCAGGAACCCTTGAGTCAGACAGTTGGGTTCTCCAGGCAGAGCCTGTGAATGGCAGCTTCCCTCATCTCCTTTCCCCCAGCTCTCCCAGACCCTGCACTGAAACCCGCACATCTAAAAACAGGGAAGGGCTTCTGCTTTTTTTGCCAAACACTGGCCAACACCCCTGCCTGCCCACCTCCCCTTTTAGGAGTTGGTCTCCAGCACTGACCTGGGAAATTTAAACTGTATCAGTCCTCTCCTCAGCCCCAGGGCCTCACCCTCCCTGCCCTGATGGCTGGTCCAGGAGTCTATGTCTCTTGAGGCCTTGCCAGGGAATGCAGGGGAGGGTCCCAGCCACAATAATTCTCGAGTAGGCACATGGCCAGTAACAGGGGAGCCGTGTATTTCTGAGTAACAGCTGGGTGAAAGCAGCCCCTCCTTCTTCCTCTGGATGCGTATTATGCAGAGATGGAACCAAAAACTACAGCAGCCATTTGGTCACCACAAAAGAAGCCAGACTGAGACTCACACCGATCACTCAGAAAGGGCAAATCAGGATGCTGCAGAGAAACAGACCCTGAAGTCCACCCTAGCTCTGGGTTTTCAATTTACATGCTATTAAAATCTGTTGTAATTAAACACATCCTGACTTATAAGTGTTTTCATAAGAGTACTTTACTTGTGGATTTCTTGGCTAAATGTATTAACATTTGTTTCTTCTCACTAAAAGTCCAAATTTTCAACAAAGCTGTATGTGTAAGATGGATAGTTTCGTTCCATTTGTTCTTTTCGTAGCTGGTGTAAGCCACCAGGTTCTCTGTGTATTGCAAGATGGACTTTACAAACCTGTAAGAAAAATTAATTGTTTTATCTACTCCATTATAAAATGAAACAATGAATTAAATATTTTCTCTTAATTCTTGGAGTTACGTAAACTGCGCTTAATTTACGCCTGAGGATTCAAGAAAAATAAATCCATATAAAACAAAATTAAGGGCATACGACTTAGAGGAAAGAGAAAAATGCTGAAACGTAAACACTGCTGGACACCGGCACAGGCCCCACTGCAAGCACCTTCGCAAACATTCTTTCTCAGGCTTGGACATGATGGCTGTAATTCCAGGAAGGAACTTAGAGGTCATCTGCACCAAACTGACACACAACACAGACCAAATGCACAACACATCCTAAATACACAACATAGAATAAATGCACAACACAGAATAAACACACAATACACAGTCATCCAGTAGATACCAAAATCCAAGCATACTAAAGTTCAGCGTGAAAAATTGGCCCCCTGTACATGCAGTTTTCACAATGAGATTTTCGTGTTTTTTCCCACACTCATGTCTGCAACCAAGAACACTGTAATTTCAATCTGTGTTTGCATGGGACGCAGCGCCTGCTAATACAGAGGACCAACCGTATTTACTGAAAAAAACTCCCTGTACAAGTGGACCTGTGCAGTCCAAACCTGCATTGTTCAGGGGTCAGTGGCAATGACCAGTAAGCCGTTTAGCCCCACCAGGAGCCTCATGGGCAGGACACCCTCTCCCTCCTCACATGTCCAGCTTCCGTCCTTCGTGATGGAGGGGCCAGCTCAGAGCAGACACATGCCAGACAGTTGTTGCTGTTAAAGAGATTTTCTCTAAGATTATTTGACAGAATGTTAACAGCGGGGCAGCTCTGACTGACAAATGTCATCTTTACTTTTTCCACATTTGCCAGGTAGTTTTTACCAACATTTTATCTTGAAAATACTCAAACTTAAAGAGAAGCTAAAAGAATAGTATGATGAAAAGCCACAGCTACTTTGTCTAGAAGAGGGTTCGCTACTGGGGTATTTTGACCTGCAGGGGATATCTGGCAATGTCTAGGCCACTTCTGACTGTCACATGGAGGGTGGGACATGACTCTACATGACTGGTACTTCATGGGTAGAGGCAGGCCTGCTGCTGCGCGTCCTATTATGAGCAGGGCAGTCCCCGCACCAGTCCACAATGCCAGCAGTGCCCAGCATGAGGCACACTGAGCTGGAGTCCCCTAACACTGAGCTGTGCTGTTTAACAGGCTGCACGTCAGCAGGAGCCTATGCTTCTTTCCATAAGACACCCCAGTTGTATTTTCACATTCATTTAAACATGTATTGAGCTGCCTGGCAGCTTGCAAAGCATTGGCTTAAAACCAAGATACCCAGAACCTCCTGGCAGCTGAGGGAGGCTGGAGCTGCGGCTGCACCCAAGTCCAGATGACCACTTTTGAAACCTCTACCTGGAAGCCTCCTCAGTTTGGAATCTCTGGTTATCAAGTGGGACACACAAGTGTCACACCACTTATATTCCTAGATTGGGATGGTCCTAAAAAGTGAACTTCCCAAATATGAAACTATTAGTAACATACACAAATTTGGTTTTTGGCCTGGTGCTGTGGCTTTTACACTTGTAATCCCAGCACTCTGGGAGGTGAAGGTGGGAGGATCACCGGAGGTCAGCATAGTGAAACCTGATCTCTATGAAAAAATTTAAAAATTAGCCAGGTATGGTGGCACAGCTGTGGTGCCAGCTACTCAGGAGGCTGAGGTGGGAGGATCACTTGAGTCTGGGAGGTTGAGGCTGCAGTGAGACATTATTATGCCACTGCACTCCAGCCTGGGCAACAAAACAAGATGCTGTCTCTGGCGGAAAAAAAAAAAAAAAAAAAAAAAAAAAATTGGTTTTGAGCCATTTGGAGGCAGACATTTTCCTTGTAGGCCAGATGCCAGACCCTTGCCTGAGACGGTAGTGGTGCCACCAAGGAAATGGGAACTCTCACGCTGCCACAATCTCACTCCTACAGGCTCACTCCCAATCTGCCCCACGAAACACTGATACTCCAGAGAAGTGTGACATACTTACTTTAGGTACTGCTGATACTCATGCGTATTCTTTCCACAAACAGCATGAATGTTGACCAATTCCAGCACAATGAGTAACAGAACCAGGCTGAGCACAGGGGACAGAAGTCTGATACTAAAAACAGATAAAAGTAAATTAAAATTTGAGGAACACTGGTGTTCTCCACCTTCGTCAGGAAAAAGATGTTTCACCTAATCAACACCTCTTCAATTTCTCAAAAAGTAATTTTCCTAATCCTTAGAGCCCGATGCCTGCTTCCAGGCCCCAGGTTCGTGGCCAGAGGGAATGCCCAGTGTAGCCCTTGCTCCCGGCCGCCCTGCACATCCACATTCCTTGCTCTCAGTCATCATCTGAAGGGCTGCTGGGGGCTCTGCATGCTCACGGGGCACCAGGCAGGCCCAGTCTGCGCCCAGCTGCCCCCATGCTCCCTGCCCTCTGACATCCAGAAAGGAACTCTCACCAGAAAAAAACAAATGGCCTCAATATGAAAGCTGGCTGAATGCCACCATATTAAAGAAACTCCAATTAAAGTAAGATCTTATTTTTCCCATGAAACTAGCTGACACATTTTAAAATATTCTGGTTTTGGAAAGTGGTAACAAGAGAATGACCTTGTCTTATAAACTGCTAGTAAGAGTGTAAATTGAGAAGCACTTTTCTGGGGGGGATCTATTTAAAGCTTTAAAAACCACAGATACACTCAACCGAAACATTCTAGAAATGTGTCCAAAATGGTCATTTCTTAAGGATGTAGCACATTCTAAAATATACACTATAAGTGAAGAAACTGTAATGCTGGTTATACGGAAGTTAATCTGCTGTTGTATTTTAAACCCAAAAATATTCATTTGGGTAGCTAGAACCCACATTTCCACATGCCCAAATTACAAACAATATTTAAAATAGTATGTACTATCACTTTCTATGAAAATCAGCACAGCAAATCCTCAAATAACATTTCATACAACTTTGTCTTGTTACATCAGTGAGAAAAGAAACTGGTATCCGGCAAAGGCCGCTGTCTGTGTGGAGAAGCGCAGTCTGCATGGGTGGGTTTTCTCCCGCCCCGTTTATTCCCAGGTCCCAGAGCTGTGCACATGAGGTGAACTGGCAATGCCTATGTGGTCCCAGAGTGAGTGTGGGTGTGTGAGTCGCCCTGGATGGAACCGCACCCTGTCCAGGGTGGGCCCTGCCTTGTACCCTGAGCTGCTGGGATAGGCTCCAGCCACCTGCACCCCGGACCCTGAACTGGAATAAGCAGGTGGGAAAATGGATGAATGAATGAATACAAATTATAAGAACTTGTAAAGTCTACAATAAGTGCTTGACAGTAAGCGGTAGGGGACAAAAGTGCTTAGTGACCCACACATTTGTTCTTATTGGTGCTGGAGCTGCCAGAAGGAAGGGGCGCAGGCCTGGGGAGGTCTCACTCCGCAAACATTTGTTCCCCAATTCAACTACCACCTGGACTGCCATCACTCACTGCCTCACCAAAAACTGAGTAGTTTTTCCACTTGTTTTTATTCATCTTTCTTAAATGTCCAAAGAGCTCATATGTATCTCAGTGTTTAATATTATAAGTGTCTTGGGTCCTTATTCAGAAGCTTGGTAATATTTCTGTGACCAGAAACAGGCTGTGGGAACTTTTGTTTCCATTGTGACAGGAAAATAAATTTCAGGACTCCAAACTCACTAAGCCAAGTCAAACTAAGGAAAAGCTTAACTAAAGAAAAGTTAAGCTGGGAACTGCCTCAGGAAACCTGCCTCTGGTTTTATTCCTAAATAAGATGGCTACAAAGATAAAAAAGCTACAGACCTCACAGTTTGTCCACAAGGAAATTCCTCCTGGGCCTCAAGATCTTAGATACTCTTAAGAGTTCTGCTGAATTTCACTCTGGTAATTGCTAGCTATTCTTCACAGGTGTGCGACAGAAAGTCATCCCTCTGCTCACCTGAGACAAATGCATATATGACTGCTTCTTCTGCCCTATGTTTATGGAAAATGCAGCTTCACTGAGCCACACTGTGGTGTAAGTGACTATTCCTCTACCCACCTCACCAGTAAACTGTATTCACTGAAAGCCAATCAAAGACTCAAAATAATGCAATTCTTTGTCTCTTAGACTCAAAATAATACAATCCTTTGTCTCTTGTCTACCCACCTTTGAGTTTTCCCGCCTTTCCAGATGAAACCAATATACACTTTACACCTACTGATCGATGTCTTATGTCCCCTAAAACGTGTAAAAGCCAGCTGTGTCCCAAATTCCCTGAGGCACATGCCGTCAGCACCTCCTGAGGCTGTCACAGCCCGTCCTTAACCTTGGGAAAGTTGACTTTCTAAATGGATTGAGAACTGTCTCAGATACTTTGGGTTCACACTATCAGTTGTGAACTCCAAGTATATCCCCTGTTGATGGGGTTCAGTGAGGGCCTACTGCGTGTGTCTGAAAGTGAGGACTGAACTGCATCTGTGACAACTTCCTGCCCCACAGTGTCCCTCCCAAACAGGAAAGTGAGTACGCACCTACTCCGCATGCTCAGGTAGTTCCGCCGCTGGCGAGACCGCAGAGTCCTTTCCACCCACTGTGTGTGTCTCAGCTCTGAGGCAGCAGTGACCTGGCTGGACACGTGGTGGCACTGTTTGCTGATGCTTCGGAGCACAACCAGCACTTCCAGCACAGTCCTGGGGCAGAACAGGGTGGGGACCGGTGTGCTGCAGAGCTCACAGAGCAGCTGTGAGCTGGGCCACCTGCAAACAGAGTGAGACTTGCAACAGGCATCATGATCCTCAGCTGCGCCTCACTCTCTGCACCTGCACTTGCAAGGCTGCGGCCTTCTGGGAGCCAGGGCTAGCCGCGTATTGCCGATTGGTCTGCAGGGGCAATTGTGACGTGTGGCAAGTGTTAACTAAATACACTGAATTGTGGTCAACAGAATGTGGCATTCACAGCTTCATCAGATGTGCCAAGTTTGCACCGAGACTGTCAAAGCTTATCTCATCACTGCTCTTGGAGCAGTAACAGTGGGATTCTAAGAGTACCAAGTTTATAAAATCTAAAACATCGATAATGGCTAAGTTTGCTATGCTAATCGGCTGAATCAATGTTTCAACAGTTGTCAGGATGTCTTGGAACTCACGTCTCAGTAGGAAGACTATCCAAGTCCTTTAAAACACAGTGATTCTCAGGCATATGGTGATACAGTTCATCCATAATTTTTGTAATTAAAGAGTGGCAGGCATTTGTTTCAGAATTATCTTCTAATCTGAAAAAGAAAATATTTAAAGATATGTGACAATAATTAAAATGCCCATATTAGTGCCTATGCATAATAATATTTAATGGTTCACTAAGCAGCAACCTTAATGTGAATCTTAATCTCCCCAAATATAAAATGGAAAAAGCCACGAGGACAAGACAGTGGAGAAACAAACGACACCAATGCCAAAAGCAAAATACGCTGATGATGAAAGACGACGAATCAGTGAAGTATTATTCCTGCTGAGCAAGTTATGTCCACTGTAGTGTACGACTCCAAGATTTACGTCTCCATCCCCACTTCTCTTTTAGGCTTCAGATTCATCTTTTTTACTATCTACTCAATATTTCTCATGGGCACCACTGTCCACTCATAGAACCTGCCTCTCGTTCCATGTTCAGTCTCCACCAGGGCCCCATGCCAGCTGGGAAATCACATTCAGCATCACTTCCAGCTCTTCACAGGCTGCACCAGCCACCAAGGTCCAGAAATTCCTCCTTCCCCCTTTATCTTCCAGCAGCCTCATTAAAGGAGAAATGCTGCTGAAATTAACAGTACCAGACAAGCTCGAGGTCAGCCAGGCCCCAGGACAACACGCACCTGACAGCTTCCTGAGTGAGTTCTTCGGGGAAAGGAAGCAGAGCCCAAACCCTGATGCTTTCCTCACAGCTCAGCACCTGGGAGGAAACGTTATATTGCTTTTGTAGATTTCACAACAACTTCCTAGAAAATCGATGTTTTTAGATTGTTAGGGATGTTACATCCCTCTCTAGAAAATACCTATCTATAAAATTGTGACAAATTCTAAACACTGTAAAAACTAGATGGTGGGTGTCAGTTCTTCAATACGTTCAGAGGCTGGGGAGACTACCAGGGGAGTGGTAGGGAGTAAATGTCTGGGGTAGCTGTGACCATGTCCACAGGTTCTTTTGACACCTCACATTGAGAGGGAGGTCCCCACCAAATCTGCACCAGCTCCAGCAACTGGCCTATAACCAACAGAACACAGCAGATGTGAAGGTGCTGCATGGCATCCGAAGCCATGTCAGGGGTGCAGGTGCCTCTCCAGTTCAGGCCACGCTTAGGGTGCAGCAGCTGTCACCTGGGGAATGTCCCTGCAGGTACCCCATGAGACCTCTGGCCAACTCCAGCCTTCTCAGATGGGACCCCCACAAAGCCCTGAGGGAACCACAGCCGTCAACACCCAGGCAAGGCCACAAGACAGATCCCTTGGCAGATGCTCCCCCATTTCTAACCCACTAGAGTATGAGCAAGTCAAATGGTGGCTGTTGACACCACTGAGCATGGGTGGTCTCAACAGCAGGAGTAACCAAAGCCGAGGATGCAAAGCTGCCTGAATACCAGTGAGATGCCAGGAGGGGGACAGGGAATGGTAAGGACCCAAAACAGCCACCATGGGGCATGGGAGAGGATGGCCTGGCGCCTCGGCAGCTCTGGTTGGAAGACAAAGCCTGCCTTTCCGAAGCTCCTCTTCCTACGTCCTCCCTCCTCCCCACCCGTCTACCTCTACCTTCGTAAGGGCTTGTTCTTGGAAAGCATGATACTCCCCTGGTAAAAGGTCTGCAGCATGAACGGGGAATGGCATCCGACCAGCACAGCCCCATGCTCCGCCTCCAGGCCCACACCTCCAGGAGGCTGCTTTCCCGACTTCACTGCTGACAACCCACTGCTGACAGTACTTTCCTGAAGGCATTCTCAAGGAGGCCTCAGACTTCTCAAGGCACCGTTTCTTTAAAGTGCCTTTGCAAATCTCTCCTGGCCCCGTGTGTGTTGATTTTATAGCTTCCTTTCAGAAATAATATAATTCCCGAATGTTCACCTGCGCGATTATCATGATGCGTATATTCTGGGGACTACCTCTTTTTCTTCCTTGCACTGCCCTCATGTCCTCCTGTATATAGAAAAAAGCACCTCAGCTGACTTCCAAATTGGAACCTCCTGGCAGAAATGCTTAAAAAATTGTTGTTCCAGTAAGTTAACAAAAGCTAGTCTTGTGTAGCAGAAAAACGGATGTTACTCACCACTGACAAATAAAAACTGCTCCTAGCTCTGTGTTACTGGTGACAGCAGTAACAGCCTGCCGGCAGACTCAGCAAAAACACTTCCCAGTGCTCATCCATGTAACACTAAAAACACTCAGTGCAGTCAGCACTGCATTACTTGCAACTTCTAGACATGGAACTTGAGCCTCTGAGGACTGAGCAACCAGGCCAGGCCACAGCAGGCACCACGCTGGTTGGAAAGCTGGATCTGCCCAACTCAAAGTCTGAGTCAGCAGGCAAACGGCACCCTCGCTCTGCAAGAGACAGGTGGTTTCAGAAACATGCACACCCCTCCCAGCACCCTGCATTTGGCATACCTGTTTTTTAAGCTGAGAAACCGGATGGCAACGAGAACTATAGCCTTCTGCAAGATGAATCAACAATTCTACTGCTGCTTTTTCCTAGTTTAGAGAAAATGGTGGTTACTATAATATATGGTTACGTTTTTAGCTTTCTTCTATTGAACTGCAGGCCACTTAGAATCCCAATTTCTCATTATCTTTCTTCAAATAATTCTATGCAGCTAGAAAAGCAAACATTTCATTAAAATAGGTTTGACATGGCAGAAAAATCACAGCCAACAAAATGATTTTAAATGATGGCCCTTAAAAATAGATCACAAATGCCACACCCACCCTCTGTGCACAAAACTGGAAATGAATAAGAAAAAAAAAGATCCCAAAGAACTGAAAATTTAACTAGGAAAGTCATTTGAACACTAAAAATCTATACAACTAAAAAAGATCACATAAACATTTAATTGCTAAGCATACATACATATTTTTAAAACCATAAAAATTACATTATTTGCAGCTGACATAACCACTTAACTTAAAAATTTGTCAGCCAACTAAAACCCATGAGAAACAAAATCAGTGAATTGATAGTTGACAAAGTAAAAAATCTGTAACTACCTACAATTCTTAATAGCATAAAACAAACAACTAAAGTAGCTAGACGTTAACTACAGAAGAAATGTGCTCGCCTTCCACTCACTCAGATGTCCAAGAACCTGGAGTGCACCAAGCAGAGTGCTGGGCAGTATGTAGGAGGCACATGTGTGTCTGCATGGGTAACGTCCCCACTGGGCAGACACACATGCAGTGTACATATGCCACTGAAGAGCACCTGGCTTCTGTTCCAAGATGTGAACCCAGCGGAGGGCTTCCGAGGACAGGGATGACATTTGTAAAAGGATCGTGCTGGCTGCTGTGTTATGACAGGGTGAAGGGCTCGCAGAAGTTGGTGGGCAGACAAGTCAGTGCCAATGACATTTCAGGGAGGGGCCAGGACGGCATGGCCAGGTGGTGGCACAGGAGGGACAGGGAGTAGCAGATATGGATCATATTTTTTTTTTTCTTTTTTGAGACTGAGTCTTGCTCTGTCATTCGGGCTATAGTGCAGTGGCACAATCTCAGCTCACTGCAACACCTACCTCCTGGGTTCAAGCGATTCTCATGCTTCAGCCTCCTGAGTAGCTGGGACTACAGGTGCCCCCCACCACGTCTGGCTAATTTTTGTATTTTTATTAGAGACAGGGTTTCACCATGTTGGCCAGGCTGGTCTTGAACTCCACCTGCCTTGGCCTCCCAAAGTGCTGGGACTACAGGCCTGAGTCACTGCGCCTGGACTGTGGAACATATTTCTAAGACTTGTTCCAAGGTCCAAGTATGAAGAGAGAAGAGGACTCTGAGGCTTCCAGCCTGAGCAGCCACCTGAGGGGCAGGAGATGCCACGTAGACAGGAGGCTCAGGACTTGAGGAATGAAGATGGGGAGACACTGTGTCCCTGAATAAGTTTCAACATTGTGAAAAGTGTCAATTATCCATAACACAATCCATGATGTGCTCCTTGTTGTTTGTGTTTGTACAGGTTTACACAGAATAATAAATGGTGTTGAGACAACTTGCTGGCAATTAATTTTTTTTTAAAGTAAAGCTAGATTCTGTACCTTACTCTCAAGATGAAATAAATTCCAGTTGGATCAAACGATGTAAAAGGAAAATAAAGAAACAACAGAAGTACTAGAGACAATGTATATATGTATTTTTAATTTTGAAAAGTGAAGATTCTTTTCAGAATGACTCCAAATGTAGAAGCCAAAGAGAGAAAAAAAATCAAAACCTATGGACAAATAACAAAGCAGTATGTACACAAATAAGGCTAGTGAACCAACGGGAAATATAAAACTGAAAAAAATGGAGAAAACACAGTAATAGCAATTCATGAATGAATTATAAACATCTAGTAAACACACAAAAAAAAACAGAAATGAAAATAAAAACAAAATCTTGGCTGGATATGGTGGCTTGTGTCTATGGCCCCAGCTGTTCAGGTGGCAGAGATAAGAGGATGGCTTGAGCCCAGGAGGTTGAGGCTGTCATAAGCCATGACTGTACCACTGCACTCAAGCCTAAGCGTCAGAGACCCTGTCTTGTTAAAAAAAAAATGTATTGATATCTTTTGTCTTCGAACTTTACTTTTTAAGAGTATTTACATAAGTGCTCAAATGAACAAAGATGTTCCTTTCAGCAGCATAATTAGGAATTTTCCACATTAGGGAATATTACAACTCATCCATCAGTGAAGGATTGCAGAGGTAAATTACAACATACTGATAAAACGAAATATCGAACAGCTGACAAAAAGAATAAGGCAGAACAAAGATGCCAAAATCACACTGTTAATGAGAAACGGTAGCTATAAAACATGATGTATCTTCCTATGAACTCACTTTGGTGTACTCACAGAAAAAATGTGGGAGCAACACCACGTAATTATTAACAGTAATTATTTCTGGGAGATGGAATTCCTGAGGGCTGTTACTTTTCACATTAATTTTTGCTTCTATTTTGTTTGAACTTTCAATTTTTAAAATAACTATCATACGTATGATCTGAAAAGATTAAAATATTAATAACAAATGTTCTAACTTAATTATTTTGAAATAGAAGATTCGTTTATTGATGATGCAAAAACATCCTACCCCATCGATTTACCAAAAATCTGTAAAAATTTCCTAATATTTGGTTAATCCTGTTTTATAATTTGTTCTTTTGTTTTCAATACTTAGCTAGTTACTACAAAAGTAAATGTGTTTTTAAGAAATGAGTTAATTTTAGCTGAGATTAATAGATTGATATGTGATAGAGAATATAAACATACATATAATCCAATCACTTTTTTTCTAATGGAGGATACTGTAACTCAGATATATTAAAAGATGATTAATAGTTAATTACATTTCAAAAATAAACTGTATTTTTTCATAGCTGAATGACAGTTAATCTAATTAATGATTTTCTTCCCAATAAATTACCTTAAAAACTGATAGCAGACCTTCATCAACAAATCTGAGTAATAGTACAACAGAAAATGCAAGTAATTGATTAGTTGTTTCTTTTGAAAATTCGTGTAAGTTGATCTCCCCGTGGCTTAAATGATCTCTTAAGCGGGGACCCTCCTGATGGTTCAGGAAATCCCAGAGAAATTCCTTTCAGAAAATAAACAGAGAAAATGTTTTATTAGTATCCGCAGCAGAGAGCTGTGCCTGATGCTGCTGAACAGAATGGAAGAGTACATCCCTCAAGCCCTCTGAAGCCCTGGGTGGGACCTTGCTGGGGAGAGCTGTTCTGCGCCCACAGGACAGACCAGGGAGTCAGAGAGGTGGTAGGGAAGGCAGAGCTGCCTGGGTGCTGCTGGAGTCTTATCAAACTCCAGTCTTGCTTGTTTTCACCCTCCTCCAAGGAAGGGAACTGAGTATGAACATCTGCAGATGAGCTTTTCCAAGGCAATATAAGAAATCATGGCTCTTGCTTGTGTGAGCACAGCCCCCGCACTTTCTTATCTGCTCTTTTACCTTCGAAGCCTGTTGCTTCTTATGACACAAGTCCAAGGCCTCTCCCACAGGTTATAGGGAAAGGAGGTCAGAAAACTGCTGCCCTAGGCAAATTGCCAATGGTCAGAAGAGTCACAGAGACTCAAGGTGGAAAGAACATTAAACTAGTTCAATCGTCTTATTTTTTGATGGTAAAAACGGATGCCCGCAGAGCACAGAGTGTAAAGTCACAGAACAGGAGCATGGTTCTAGGTCACCTGACTCAATCTGAAGGAATAAATGTCAAATACCCACTGTAGTTCAAAACAGTCACTGAAATATCCTCATAAAATATTAAAAAGTTGATAGATGGCTTTAAATAATTAGTGATTCTCTTTTCATCCACTCAATCTTATTACTCCCTATTGGTTGCTTTTTTTTTTTTTTTTTTTGAGATGGAGTCTCGCTCTATTACCCAGGCTGGAGTGCAGTGGTGCGATCTGGGCTCACTGCAACTTCCGCCTCCTGGGTTCAAGCGATTCTCCTGCCTCAGCCTCCTACGTAGCTGGTACTACAGGCACATGCCACCATGCCCAGCTAATTTTTTTGTATTTTTCGTAGAGATGTGGTTTCACTATATTGGCCAGGCTCTAGTCTCAAACTCCTGACGTCAGGTGATCTGCCCACCTTGGCCTCCCAAATTGCTGGGATTACAGGCCTGAGTCACTGCGCCCAGCCTGTTGCATTTAACAAGGCACAAATACATGTCCATTCTACAGCACAAATACATGTAAAAAACAAATTCAAATTTTGCTTAGGGATAGGGCAGCTGAATCATCAGGCCTTTATAAAAGACATTTAAATAATGGCATAAAGCAGAGTACCCCAGCTGGAGTGACAGCTTGGGAAACATGAGCTGATTGGTGGTTGAAACTGAGACAGCCAGGAATGGTTCAGAAGTATTTTTCTTGAGCAAACCACAAGCCAAAATTAATTTCATTTTAGCGAAGTGCTGATGACATCCATAAATCAAAGAATATTACCCTGGAAAATACCTAATACTTACCATAGCAGGCTCTCCAAGGAAAAGAGGAAGCTGATTGATTTTACCATCATTCAAGTGTTTTGCTAATATCTAAAACATCAAAAATAAATACATTGATTAATTGGTCCCCATACATAAACATAGAGAACTTTCAGCGTTACTTGTTATCTAAGGTCCAAGCAATTAAATGGCATAAGGATAGTCTTTAAAATACAGCAAACAGGTGTTCAGGAAATAGTTTCTTAACCAATAGAATGTCTTTAAGAATATATTATTAATTGAATACATGTTTGTTTGTATATTTGACTGTGTATGTGTGTGGTGTGTGTATATATGTATGTGCATAGGTGGAGTGGGGGTGTGTACATTTATGTGTTTATATGCAACTGTGCCTCTGTGTGTGTGTGTGTGCGTGCATGTGTGTGTGTGTGTGTAGTATATGTGTCTGCATAATTGGTGTGGGGGTGTGTATGCCTGTTTGTATATGTGGCATGGAGGTATGTGTTTGTGTGTGTATGTGTGTGCATACATGTGTGTTGTTTTTATATATATCAGTCACTTCCTAAGTCACTTCTTAACTCATCATGGACTTTGCCCAACTACCCCAACCGATCCCATAGACCTGACTCTCTACAGACTGGACTGCACTATCCAGTCAAATCCTCATGTTACCAAAGGTCTTATATATTAAAATATCAGCAGATTATTCGCCTAATGGAAGACACTCTGCAAGTAAGCAGGCACATTTTTAACTTACCCACCACACACTCACTTAGGAATCTAACGGTTGTCTTAAAGGCAAAACTGAATATCCAGACCCCTATCAAGTGGCCCTTCCCTTGGATTCCTATAGGCTATCACACTTTAGGTGCACATGAATGCTACCCAGGATTACACACACAAAAGCCTCTATGCTTTATGGGTGATAAAAGGCATTTTCAACTGTGATTTTGACTCTTCACACCCCCAATATGCAGATTAAATGAATCAGTATATACTATACACTCATAACAGTGGTTAGGGAATATTTCTCATACAAAAAAGATGTTACCCCTAAATCTAAAATGCAAGCCTCTAAATAATTATAGCTAATCATGTTAGATTACTCAGTATTTTCCAACTTTGAACTTTGTATAGCTTTAGGAACTAGATTAGTAATACGGGGCCTCAAAATTAACCTGAAATATCAATTAAAAGCTTTTATTTGGTTTATATTACTATGGACACTTTTCTGTAAGCATATGATTTATGGCTGATCTTTAATTTTGTTTTAATTTGTATTTTAAAAGAAGACAATGTTCTGCTTGTTTCAAGTTACCTTGAAACAAGTTTAATTACTTACTTCATCAAGTTTAATTACTTACTTCATCAAAGGTGGTATAAAGAGCTGTTGACTTAAGAAATGAAAATAAACAATTAAAGCAAAATACAAGTACGGTAACACTATTCAAAATAAGAAAAAATTCTGGTACATGGCCAAATATCCCAAAGTTTCTTGTTAAACATTCATCTAGAAACACTATGAGAGGAATATCACTGACAAAATTAACACATTACAAAACCTGCAAAAACACAGTACAGCTGGCCATGAAGCCACATTAGGACACTGCCTTCAATGGAGCTTTAGCCCAGTCCTTTCTAAAACGTTCAATCCCAGACCCTCACAAATCACTGCTCATACAACAGTATTTCACCTGACGACTGGTATTTGTGCACAAGTGTGCACAGCTTCCTATTTTTGCCAACGAATAGCCTTGTCTGTTTTATTTATTTCATTCATTCATGCTGCTTCTCTGCAACATCAGCACAGCCTACAGACACAGGCTGCCCTGAGTTCTGATCCCAACTTAAACATTTTCTAGACAAGAAACGCTGGCAACTGATTTGACTCCACAGATTCAAGTTTTCTCTGCAAAACGAGAAGTGAATAATGCCCACCTCAAACGATTTCTGGGGTGTAAAGTAAAGTAAATATTTTACAGACAGCATGATAAAATCAGGATTTCGTGTAAGCTAGCTCTCTAGAAATGTTTTTTGATTTATTAAGATTTAATAACCTACTTTAGATTTTATATTACCAATATTCTTCAACATTTTTGACTATGCAGATGACTCTAAAATCTATATCTTTAGTTCTCAAATCTGTATTGCTAGCCCTAAAATTCCTTCTGTTCTAAACATCCAATTGTCTACCACATATTCCTAATTTCTCCAAAAAGTGGAATTTTTCATTTACATCCATCAACTACATGCAGTAGCTTCTACTTTGTTTTATAAAACTAGTATTAATGCCTTCTCACTCTCCCATGATCAATAAGCTTCTGAAGTCAGAAAATCTCACTCATATTCATATCTTCCACTGATCCTGAAGATACCTCATGCCACAAAAGTATTCAGTAAATAACAAAAGTCTTTGATAAGTTTTATGAAATATCTTCATATAGGTACTGCTATGGGAAGAGATGGCCAGGTACAGTTAAATGATTACAAGCTTGCTTTGCTTTTTATATGCTGAGATTTGTGCCACAGATCATATCCAGACTATGGTATAGTAGAATAAAAGCAGAGATCAAGCAGTAACAGGAGGCCTATGGTAAAGCCCATCTGAGAGTGCCCTATAACCGTGCAACACTGTGGTGTGGGTGCAGAGCAGAAAAGAAAAACTGCTTTAGTCCCACAGCTCTTCCCAACGTAGAGTCTGTATGAGGGTCTCGTAAAGGGAGCTGATGCCAAAGACTCTGGGAAGGAAATGCAACCTCGGCTCCTAAGACTCGGAAGGGTCTTCACAGACGGGAGCTGGTAAAGCCAGAAGGCCTTACAGGGCAGAGACACTGCAAGGTCACAGGCTCTGCCTATGTTCTCAGAATATGGAGCAATTCCGATTGCTCTGTGTCCACAATGCTCGGGAGATAAAAGCCCCTTGATGCACTGTGTGTGGTCAGACCTTACGGCACCTTGTCCGCTGCACCTCTCTTGCCAAAACACCTGGATAGACAATGGGTGGTGAAATCTCAGTGTCCTTGGCATTTCTTAGGAGAACCATGTTTGCTATTGAATGCTGCAGACACATGCTCTTCCTCTGGCTATCTTCCTTCTCAACCCCCACCTCACAGCCTGCAATATACCTAATAAAAGTGCTTGGAGCCCAGAGCTCAATGCCAATTCAGATCACCCTGAGAGAGTGCATTGGACCCCTGGACCCATGCTGCCAAATTCTATTCTTGTGTCTTTGTCTTTACTTCTTTTCTCACTCCCTCATCACTGCCAGGACAGGGGCAACCACGTTGAGGGTTGGGCTGGTTCCCAACGTACTGCCTTACAAACTGATCCTGTTTATTCTGGATAAAAGCCCAGGCTAAAACTTAACATATTCTTTGATAGATTATATCCTCTGTGGAAACAGTCATTTTATTTATTTATGAAGTCAAATGATAAGTAAATATCCAAATACACAAGTTTATTTGTATGACATGGCCCTACAGTGATGGAGCGTGCCACCATGCAGCCGACTTCCATGCAGGCCTCATGAAGCAAGGACCCAACTTTTTCCTAAGTTTCTCTCCACACCATGCAGCCTACACAGAAGGCACTGGGCATGGGCACCAGGCGACAGCAATATGAAGGCCTGCCTTGGAGAACCTGCAGAGACCTCTGCAGAAACACACGAGAGTAAGGCAAAGCAGGATGGTCTCTAAGATGAAATAGAAACACAGAGAAAAGCAGCCTCCACCTTTGAGTGGATGAGCCTCTGGGAGGTCACTCTTATGGCCATAGCCCATGACCTGGACTGGTAAGTCTGGGGGTGAGGGACAAAGTAAGAGGAAAGACCAGCAAGTTCTGGAGTGGACAAGAAGCCTAAATTACATTGGAGAACACAAACAGGGAACACAACCAAAGACAAGCGCAGGGTTAGAACCTGAGGCCTTGCCACCATGTGAAGAGCATGATCGCCATCTGACAGGTAGCAGGACATCATAAAAGAGGTCAGACAAAGAAAAAACCATAAACAACGTAAGAATATCAGTTTAGAAAATAATCAGTGGAGCCAGACATGGTGGCTCACACCTGTAATCCCAAAACTTGGAAGGCCAAGGCAGGAGGATAGCTTATGCCCAGGAGTTCAATACCAGCCTGGTCAACATGGCAAGACTCCATCTCTACCAAAAAAAAAAAAAAATTAAAAATTATCTGGGTGTAGTAGCGCATGCCTGTGGTCCCGCTACTTGGGGGGCTAAGGTGGAAGGATCGCTTGAGCCCGGAGGTTGAGACTGCATTAAGCTATGATCGTACCACCACATTCTAGCTTGGGCAACAGAGAGAGACCCTGTCTCAAAAAGAAACCTAAAAAAAAAAAAAGAAGAAGAATCAGCAGGACTGTAAGAATGAAATTAAGAAGGCGGAAGAATCATGAGATAAGCTTGGGTGGGCCGAGGAGCCAGGCGGGGCTTCTCAGCTTGGACAGAAAGAGACGAGGTCGGCTGAGTGGAACCCACCAGCCACGCTGGCCACTGAGTGGACATGGGAAGCATGGGGAAACACGAGGTGCTGCTGGAGTCTGCAGCTGGTGAGGCTGAGATGACAGAGGAAGGGTCAGAGGCCAAATCTGTGGGAAACAATGCCTTTCTGAAAGTGCTAAGGAAAACTCACATGAAGATACTCAGCGAACATGAACAGACCTAACTGCACAGATCAGATGAAGGTCAGTGAGAAGCAACACTGGGGAGCCTGGCTCCTGGGCCATAAGCTGCCCTCACAGCACTGCTTTCACTGGGTCCGAAACTTTGCATGTGTTGGGTTTCATTTTCATTGGGTTCAATGTATTTTCTAATTGCTATTCCCCCAGAGATGAAAATATAAGGCACAGAACTGTATGAAATCTCCCAGGGAGAGAAAACAAGAGGATGGGGTTGAGAGCAGAGCATTGAGAAATGCTTACAAAGAGGGGCAAAAAGCAAAAGCTAACCTAGAGAAGGAGACGAGAATCCGAGTTGTAGAGAGGCTGCACCTCCCGGCCCTTCACAACAGAGTGCACAGTGGGGAGCTGGGCACTCGCCCACCCAGGACACTTCCATGCCTCCCTGGCAGCACGTGTGCTGGCCAAGAGGACGGTCTGTGCTACCTCTAGGAAGTGCCCTTGGAGAGGGGCATGCTCCAATCTTTGCTTTTCCTGCTAGCTGGAAAGCAGATGTGATGGCTGACACAGCCAGCTGGAGCCATGAGGAAGAAGTCTCCATGAGAGAGGCCTGGCCCTCATTAGTGGAAGATGACACAGAGGGGTCTGAGTGCTGATGACAGGGGCGCTGCCATCTCAGCGGGGGCTACTCATATTTAGGAAAAGCAGAAATGCACTTCTATCCTATTTCAGTCACTGCAGCCATCCTATTTCCTGATCTCTGTCACGAGCAGCCAGATCTGACCGTAACTACCAAAAAGGAGCAGAAAGGAGAAATTCTAGGAGCCAGAGGAGGTCGGCTGGAAGCTCAGAGACGCCTGCCTCGGACACGGCAACCAGGGCTGATGTGAGAACTCTGAGACAACTGTGTGCACATGCATGTGTGCACGCAGGGAGGGGCTCAAGAAACGTTGACAGAGGCTTCCATGATCTGCTGCAGGGCTGGCACTAAACCAAATCATCTCTAAATCCCACATCTTCCATTTTAAGATGGAGAAAGGTTTTGATTATTTTCCCAAGGTCAGAATTATTTTCCCATGCTCAGAAGGTTTTGATTATTTTCCCAAGGTCAGAATCAACCACTGGTCAGCCTCGGCCTCCTGGCTGGACCCAACCATCTCATGAGGTTACAGTGACACACCATCAGTATGGACAGAGAGGGAATCAGCACCCACTACTTTCATGACATCAATAAGTTTAAAAGGCTATTTTGAAATATTACAGAAATATTTTTAAAAATAACATAAATATATATCCTACAAAAATGACAGTAAAGCCTTCCCCACTTCTTAGCTTAAAAATTTATTTTAATGTTAAAAAGAATAAAATTTTAAAAACCTTTTAATTGGTCACAGAAAACTGTTAACAAAGCAACAACAATCACAATCAATAATAAAAACAAGTTTACCTCAGCAGTCAGGAGTCTTTTTGGACATCTGTTAAGTGTGGCAAAAACATTCCTAAGTCCAGTCTCTAGCTGTGCCAGCAACAATATGGCACAATCAGCAAATCTATGAAATTGAAGGGAAAATAGGTAAAACTCCATGTTTCAAAAATAAATATTAGGCCAGGTACAGTGGCTCATGCCTGTAATCTCAGCATTTTAGGGAATTCAAAGCAGGAAGATCGCTTGAGGCCAAGAGTTCAAGACCAGCCAGGGACACCCCATCTCTACAAAAAATTTAGAAATTAGCAAGGTGTGGTGGCACATGCCTGTAGTCCTAGCTACCTAGGAGGCTGAGGCAGCAGGAATGCTTAAACCCAGGAGTTAAAGGCTGGAGTGAGCTATGACTGTGCTACTACACTCCAGTTTGAGTGACAAAGTAAAACTGTCTCTAAGTAAAAAAGCAAAAAACAAAAACAATATTGACACCAACATCACAGTAACTGCTGCAGTCTAGATATCAAAAGCAAAGAGAAGTGATAATACTTGCTAATATAAGAAACAAAAAGAAGCAGCTGGGCACAGTGGCTCATGCCTGTAGTCCTAGCACTTGGGGAGGCTGAGGCAGGTAGACCACATGAGGCTAAGAGTTTGAGACCAGCCTGGCCAATATGACGTAACCTCATCTCTACTAAAAATACAAAATCAGCCAGGCATGGTGGTGCATGCCTGTAGTTCCAGCTACTTGGGAAGCTGAGGCAGGAGAATCACTTAAACCTAGGAGGCGGAGGATGCAATGAACTGAGATCACACCATTGCACTCCAGCCTGGGTGACACAGTGAGACTTTGTGTCAAAACAAAACAAAACAAAACAAACAAAAAAAAACCCACACAAAACCAGTTTCATCTACTAGTGATTTTAAAAACATTTTCCAGTGTTTTTTTCATGTTTGATGAACCATTTTTAGTAGCTTCTATAGAATAAAACATCATCAAAGAACTTTCTAAGTCATTTCATTGCTTCTAAAAAATACTGAGGCTGGGTGCAGTAGCTCTCTCCTGTAATTCCAGCACTTTGGGAGGCTGAGACAGGAGGGTCACTTGAGCCCAGGAGTTCAAGATCAGCCTGGGCAATGGAATAAGACCTCATCTCTAGAAAAAGTACAAAATTAGCCAGGTATGGTAATACACACTTACAGTCCTAGCTACTCAGGAGGCTGAGGTGGGAGGACCACATGAGCCCAGGAGTTCAAGCCTACAGTGAGCCGAGATGGTTCCGTTGCACCTCAGCCTGGGGGACAGAGTGAGATCTAGTCTTAAAAAGAAAAAACAAAAATGCAAATACCAGGATTTCAGTGGATTCTCAAAGTATAAAAATGAATGAATAGGGTAATATCCTTTAAAGAACTAAAGACTAGCTCACTAGACCTTCTGGTGGCTACCAAACATGTGTTTGCTCCTGAGGAAACAGAAAAAGAATGTAAGGAAAAAGCTGTCTTGTCTTTGTTTCCTGATTCTGGACATGTTTCACTCATTCTAAGAATTCCAGAAAATATTAAAAAGTGGATCCCCAAAAATAATTATATCAACTGCCAAAAGGCTGACACACAATGTTTAAGATATAATCACAGGCTGTCCTTTAAGTGACTCTACGAAGGTGTTTTATTTCCAGGTCTGCTCAAGTCAGTCCAGCTTCTCTTCACTTCTACTCTAATAGCAAAAAGCATCAAAAGTGAAGGGCATCAAGAAAGACTGACCTCCAACCACTGAAAACCACCATGCTATGCACCCTTCACTTACCTCTGTGACCTGAACTTGATCAGTGCAACTTCCCAATATGGTAACATGATTTTTAATATAAAAGCAGATTTTGTCATCACTTCTTCTAATACTGAAAGCACCTCATAAGTAACATCTGCAAAATAACAAACAGTTTTAAACACAATCATACTAATCACATGAAAAACGATGGGAACATACTGAGGGAGTGACACCAATGAGTCAATCACTTTAGGCGGTTGAACTGTAGCCGCTGCTGCAGGGGACTCATCAAAGAGCAGGGTCACCCTGACCAAGAGCCTGAGGTACAAATGACCCTCTGAAAGGAGGGCATGTACATCTCTTCAGTGATTCAGGCAACAGCTCAGGGTGGACCAATTGAGTACAATGACCAAGAGAAGTAAAATATATTTTCAGAAGGTATAAAAGACCCTTGATACTGTAAGTACTTCTGGCATAATGATCATGAGTATAAAGATACCAGAGGTGAAAGGAGGAGAAAATATACATCCTACCACAGCCTGAGGCCACTATTGTGCATAGCACATCTGAGGAAGAAAGAGATGGATTCATCCAGCCGCAACTCTATGAACCCCAAAACCACCCCGGGGCATGGTGGGATGAGACAGGGCTTTGGGTAGCAAGATGTAGGAGGTTCTTCAAGCAACTCTGAAAGACATCTGACCACTGAAGAGTAACTACTTCACCCCACCTCGAGTACACACCTCAATGCTGACTTTGCAAATATCTATGCAAAACTACATTAAGGAAAAAATGTAAAATGTAGTACTTACCAGGAAAAATAACCAAATCTTCTAGGTTTTTAAGAGTTATGAAAGAGCGATGTGTCAATATAAGTTTAGTGTTTTGAAGGTAACTCTTCAGTAACTGACCCAATCCTACTGTCAACAGTATCATCATTGAACAGTATCTAGGGGAAATACCATAGATCTGTTACAAAAATGTACTCAGTCATACCTATAAAAAGCTTCACTGTGAAAAGTACAAATTTAAAATTAAGAAAGCAAAGCACCATTAAATTTCACGGAACTGGCTGAGCATGTGGCTCATGCCTGTAATCCCAGCACTTTGGGAGGCTGAGGCGGGCAGATCACTTGAGCTCAGGAGTCTGAGACCAGTCTGGGCAATAAGGTGAAACCCTATCTCCATAAAAAATACAAAAAAATTAGGTGGGAATAGTGGCATGTGCCTGTACTTCCAGCTACTCAGGGGGCTGAGGCAGGTGGATTGCTTAAGCCCAGGAGGAAGAGGTTGCAATGAGCTAAGAACACAGCAGTGTACTCCAGCCTGGGTGACAGAGCAAAATTCTATCTTAAAAAAAAAAAAATGCACACAATTCTATAGATGTAGGAATTAAGTTATGCAATGGTTGTGAGGCACAATAACACCAGAGAAACTCTGATGAAGAACCTGATGAAACCTCAGGGTCTTCCACCCACCTGAGACGTGAATGGCATAACATCCTTCTGGTGCTACCTCTGAATTGCCTTTGGGATGTAAGTCACTGAAACCACAACCCTGTCATCACTCTAGTGACTACATCAGTAATATTCAATTTTATCTTCAAAATCCTATCTCAAAACTCACTCATCTTTCACAAAATACATATTTCCTTCTTGTGAAATTCAAAACTTAAAAGACTCTTTGGTAGATTCAAAAAAGGAAGAAAATGTCTTCACTTGAAACTTACTTCGGAGGAATTTCTTCAGGTGATGCAAACCCATGCCATAAGATGTTACGCAGGTTGAGACCACATGGAGAGCCAACGAAGACTTTTAGCACATTCATCTAATCCAGTTAAGGACAATAAATCATGACATAGTTAATTATTATTGAATAAAAAAATACAATATGAAGATAATGTTTGTGTTCTTCTTTTTAACTGACAGAGCCAACAGTTTTGGCTAGTGAGTAGCAGTAATAATAATAAAACCAACATTTATTGACTGCCTAATATGTGCCAGACACATTTTATATGTGTTCATCAACTCATCCTAAGAACAACCTATGAAGAAGGTACTACCATTATCCCCAGCATGCAGGTGAAAATAATACAAGCATGGAAAGGTGAAATCAAAGCCTCAAAGGTGACAAAATCAATATGGGGGATAAGATCTGACCCAGGCTATCCTGCATTAATAAAGTGCTTCAAATGTGCCTAGTATCTAAATAAAATGCAAGAAGATAACGATATAAGCAGAAAGTTATTGTTGTATTAAGCAGCATGCAGTTGCGTGGTTCAACAGAGACAGTAGGGCAAATGACACAGCAGCATGGCTCCAGGCTTGAGACTCCACCTCCCAGCTGTCTGACTTGAAGCCCATCACTGAGTGGTCCACCAACTATCTACAGAGTGAGGAAAACACCAAACCAGGGGTTCTACTTAATGGACTGCAATCATGCCATTCCCAGAGAACTGCTTTGGGTTTGAGGCACCATACTTAGAAGAAACTCAGAAAAAAATGGAAGATGCTCAAAGACTAAAAGAACTTAAAGCCATATCATAGGAGGAAGAATGGTTGAGCCTCCAGAAGACTCGAGAAAGAAGTGAACACTGTCTTCATGCATGTGAAGATGCTGCTGAGAAGGGAATATGGATGCATTCTCAACTTCCCTCAGCAGGGAGACCCAAAACCAGCAGGTGGAAATGATCAAGATCAGGTTCTACTCAAAGCAGGAACATTTAACAAGCAGTTCTTCTATGCAACTTCAGGAGATCTTTTTGCTTTAGCATTAATTTGTGAAATACTCATGGTTCACACCATCTGGTCAATCAGATGTATAAATGCCAGTGACCAAGTAAAAGTATCTGGTGGCTGAAGTGGCCACAAGGGGTCAGAAGGCCAATCACACATAGGCAAGTACCAAAGAACAAATCAGAGAAACAAAATGTGTTTAAGAAGTCAGTGTAACAAGAGGTTTGTACCTTTCATATTCACTCCATGCTTTCCACAAAAGAAAATGATCTTTAAGCTGACAAGAAGTAAAGATCCACAATGCAAAAGCTCCACTGAAGACAGATTTCTTTACTTCAAAAATCATCTAGTGGTTCCCTGACTTGGCAAGCACAGCTTCCACACAAGGCTCTCCTGGGTTTCTTCATCTTGACCCTCCCTCACTCAGTTGCCTAAAGGTTATTCATTAGTCTTAAGTTTCTTGATCCTGTGCCCTTTAGGAGATTTTAATATAGTATGTAACTGTATTATTTTTTAATACCTGATTTTTTTTCCACTCTAAGTTTAAATAGTTGCAAAAAGCATAATTTGACGTTAAAAATTTCAAATAAAACTGTATTATCACTCATTTAAAGAGTTAAAGTTGTATTCTGGATTTGGTATTATAGTTATTAATATGTAAGTGATTGAGGCAACATGCTTCACATTGGCCCTGTGGCACCCCAGAGTTATTCACACCCAGGATAGGAAAGCTTTCCACATGCTGGAGGAGGAGTGATTTTGAAAGGGAAGGTGGGAAGGGAGAATATGCTTGAATCACTGATACATTTTTTTCCTAAAGCATCATCAGTTTGGGAAGAAAAAAAGCACAGCATATGTGAATTGCTGTTTTGCACTTACTTCATTATATGGTTTAGCTGTATCCCCACCCAAGTCTCAACTTGAATTGTATCTTCCAAAATCCTTCCATGTTGTGAGAGGGACCCAGGGGAAGTAGTTGAATCATGGGGCCTGGTCCTTCCTGTGCTATTCTCAGAATAGTGAATAAGTCTCATGAGATCTGATGGGTTTATCAGGGGTTTCCACTTTGGCTTTTTCCTCTTTTGCTTCTTGCTGCCACCATGTAAGAAGTGCCTTTCTCCTTCTGCCATGATTCTGAGGCCTCCCAAGTCATGTGGAACTGTAAGGCCAATTAAACCTCTTTCTCTTCCCAGACTCAGGTATGTCTTTATCAGCAGCATGAAAACAGACTAATATACTCCACGAGTTTAGATGAACAAGCTTACCACAGACTGCCCAAAGATTTGAGCAAGCTCTTCAGATGCAAGTAGATCTCTTAAAAGAAAGGGGCATTCCTTCCCAATCAGTAAAAATACCTAAAATTCAAACAAAAATTGTGTAACAACTGCATTATGAGCCAATAACATTAAAAACATTACCCATGAAGCAACTGTAGACATGAGGGGAGAAAAATACTTAGACACCAATCCTTTGATTTCATAATCATTCAAAAGGCAAAAATTAAAAATTTGTACCAAATGATTTTATCTTAGAGGAAAATAAGAAATCTGAGGGCAACTGTAAAATAGTTTAATGTTCATTCAATTTAATGGGCCAATAATGAAAGAGATCTCACACTTACATCACCCAAGGCTCGTTCTAGACATGATGTCAGTTTCATTAAGCTAAGACAAATAGCAGGAGATTGTAGACTTTTTAAGGCTTCAAATATTTCAGGAAATAACTGTTTAGAATAAAACACATATTAGGATGTGCAATCTAAAACTATTTCTCAAAGTAACAATATTATTTATTGAAATTCAAACCTCTAAAGATTTTAACTTTCATATTTTAGTTATTTTCAGGGGATAAGTAAGCATTTTCTGTATAATTATATTGCCTAAAGAATCCATAAAAATATTTTAATAGCTCGCTGGGTGCAGTGGCTCAAGCCTGTAATCCCAGCACTTTGGGAGGCCGAGGCGGGTGGATCACGAGGTCCAGAGATCGAGACCATCCTGGTCAACGTTGTGAAACCCCGTCTCTACTAAAAATACAAAATATTAGCTGGGCATGGTGGCACGTGCCTGTAATCCCAGCTACTCAGGAGGCTGAGGCAGGAGAATTGCCTGACCCAGGAGGCGGAGTTTGCGGTGAGCTGAGATCGTGCCATTGCACTCCAGCCTGGGTAACAAGAGTGAAACTCCGTCTCAAAAAAAAAAAAAAAATGCTAGTACAAGGGGGATGCGATGATTCCTTCACTCCAAATTCAAAGCAGAATTAGACTTGTTATAGTTACTGCTTTACTGTGGTCATTTAGTGTGCCAAAAACTGACCACAAAAACATACCAAAACAAAATTTTGGGTTGGGCCCCAAATTACCCATACTCCCTTCAATTCCTCACAACAAACCAAGTATCCCAGCTCTGGTCTTCAGGCCCCACTGTCTTAGATGTCTTAGAACACTTCAATACCTCTCCACAGGGCCTCTTATTCTGGAATGGTCAATTTTTCTTCTGTCCCTGGATGAGTACCAAGTGCCAAGTGTTAGCTCTCCAACCCCTAATCCTGTGATAATGAATTCCTGTGTTCCAAGGAATGTTTCTCAGCTCAGGCTCTGGAGACCCTGCATAACAGCCAGGGTTCTCTTGCAACCCTCAACAGTTCTTCACAGTTGGAGGGCCTGGGGATGAAGGAGGCCCCTTTAAAATTGGCAAATAATAAGTCCTCTAAGTAGTATTTGCACAGTTTTTTATTTTTAAAGGTTGTTCAAAAGCCAAACCTGTGGAAAACTTGTCCACTGGAACCATGGTGCATACTGAATTTCAAACTGCCCCTTGGTCAAAGATAAGAAATGTGAATGGACAGCTTCACACACAGGGCCCAGCAGCCTCACACTTCCCCAGCAATCCAGACCCTGGTCTTAAAGGATAAGAAAACAAATTTTAGCACCATAGCTTCATATCAAACATCTACATCATCAAAGAAGAAAATGCTTTAATTATAAAACTTACACAAAATCAACAATCAGTTTACCATTGAACATATGATAAACTTTTTATGTTGTTAGAAATAAATCATATAATGCTTATCAGATTATAAAAGAAAAACATACTATCAGCAGAGAATTTGGAAAATACAAAAAGTTTCAAACAAGAAAAAGCTATTTTTGTCAATGTCTTTACCTGTACATAAATACACAGGAAAATAGGCTCACATTGTATATACAATATTGTAACCTGATTTTTTTAAAGTTAAACCAGTCTCACTCTGTGTATACAATTTTGTAACCTGGCTTTTTTAAAGTTAACATTATTAGGCTGAGATTTCTTATGACAATGAATTATTTTAAAACATTTATAATACAAAGTTTTTGTTGCTTTAATTTTTTTTTTTATATGAAGCTTCTGTTGTTTTAGGTTTTTGTTTTGTTTTTATATAAGTTAGGGATTAACCATCCACTTGCTTAATGATCAATAAATAGCAAAGGGTGGCCAAGCACGGTGACTCACGCCTGTAATTCCACCACTTTGGGAGGCTGAGGCAGGCAGATCACCTGAGGTCAGGAGTTCGAGACCAGCCTGGCCAACAGAGTGAAACTCCATCTGTACTAAAAATGCTGAGTGTGGTGGCAGGCGCCTGTAATCCCAGTTCCTCAGGACGCTGAGGCAGGAAAATGGCTTAAACCTGGGATGCAGAGGTTGTAGTGAGCCAGGATCACACCATTACACTCCAGCCTGGGGTACAAGAGCAAGACTTCATCTCAAATGAATGAATGAATGAATGAATGAAAAAGCAAAAGGTAAATACAAATACATGCTCTTCCTGTTTTTTTTCCCCACTTAGCTCAGAGATTTCTGTATCAGATGAGCCTCCTCATTCTTTTCTACCACTGCATAATATTCCATTATATGCATTTATCATAATTTACTCAACCATACCCCTACTGCTTGATGTTTGGCTGTTTATTTATTAAAGGGTAACCTTGCACAAACACATTTTGATATCTGTATCTGTCTTAAAGATTCCTGAAAATGGACTGTTAGGCCAGAGTATGTTCATTTGTAATTTTTATAACTATTATTAAATTTCCCCACCCATATTTCTAAAATGTGCAAGAATGCCTAGAAGACATTTAAAATAACTGTATAATCTATTGTTGGTCATTTTATACCCTTAATTCATATGACTCCTATGGAAAATCATCTCAAGGCCCTGAGATCTATATCATCAACAGCCCACCAGCCCCTCTCTGCCTCCTGACACCTCTTCTGTAGAGGTGGTTTTCTTAGCCTAGCTTTTCATGAATTTTTCCATGCTTCTCTGGCCTCATCTCCTCTCCTTTCACATTAATTCCTTTTCTCCTTGGAGTCAGGCCTATATTATAACATTCTCTAATAAAAGGAAGCAATGGTCAGAAAGGGGAATTTTACAGGTCAAGACATTTTCAATAGAACAATTACAAAAGTTTGGAGTACAAAGACAGCACAAACCTGACTCTGTGTAGCACACACAGTCTGTGATTGTTTTCCAGCATACCTCACCATTCTGAGTTACAATGCTATTGATGTCACAATTTTCTCTGAGTTCAAACCCAAGATTACAAATTATATCATATACTGAGGGAGAAAGACATGTGGTAATAGACGCCCCTATTAATACCTTAAAAAAAAAAAGGCACTGATTAACAGAAAGAAAAATAGAGTATTATATATTTAAGTCACAAGAAAGCGCTCTTACTGAATGAACTCAGGTGTAGATACTATTAACATGTTTTCTAGATATCATGAGAGCTGTATGATCACAACATTATGATTAAATATTAAAGATATGTACATAAATGCTCTCAAATATGAGAAAGATTTAAAGTTAAAATTATCAATCATAATATTTGCAGACTGCCCTGCCTATGCAGTAGCCATTCTTTATTCCTTTACTTTCTTAATTAAACCTGCTTTCATTTTACTCTTAAACTTGCTTTCACTTTACTTTAAAAAAAAACAAAAAACAAAAAACAAAAAACAAAAAAAGATATGAGTTCACGGAAGCTCAGTGTGTTTTATGAACAGGGCACTATTCCTCTCAGCATTCCTTCACTATCCCAGAGTTATCAAAATAAGCAATTTTTTAAATGGGGAACGGAAGAGCAGACATCAAGCATAATGAAAAAGAAGAAAAAAAAAAAAAAAAAAAAAATCGAATCCCTCTGACTCCCTAAATGGTATTGAAGAAAACCACAATGTCATCACAAAACACGCCTCTTTGATATAAAAAAAATCTTAGCTGAAGACAAGAGGCAGCAAATGAAGGAAAAGCTCTCTCTGTCCTCCCACTCTTCCGCCCAAAGACAGGATATAAATTCTTTACTGGAGGTAACTTTTGACTCTTAACAGACCAGAGAAGGCACCAAAGGAATCTACAGACAATTCTTACTCCATTAGTTTCCAAACATGTATCTACCTTCCCAGTTTCCTGCCCTTTGAAGCCTAAAACTGTTCTACTGTCATTTCTCTGCAAATCTATAGTTCTTTGTTGAAGATGGTATACACATGTAGTTCTAAGCCACCATTTCAAGTTATCTTTCACTGAGGTTTATCCCTTGTGATGTGCACTCTGTGCATTAATAAACTTTTTTCTTGTTAACCTTTCTTTTGTTAAAGGTGTCACTCTGAACTAAGATGGGCAGAGGTAAAGTTTAGCCTCCTCTGCCATGTAAAAAATAGCAAGCCGTACTGGTTTTCCAAAATTTTCCACTAATTTTGGAGAATTAAATAAAACCAAAATCCTCACAATTATCCCACATGACACTAGGACCATCGTATAAACCTGCGAAGAATTCAAATTCAGGATCTAAAGCTGAACCGAGGCTCTTTTATTTTGGCGTTTCGAGTTAAGGGGTGACTGTGTTGTGATAGTCACCATTAACTCTGGGCACCTCCTAACCTGGAAACTGTTCAGTTTCAGTTCCCTTGTCCTGTTCAGTATGTTACCCTGTTTGCTCTTCCCGTTCCCCAGATGTTGCGCTTTCCACTCTCAGTCCTGGTTTTCTAACAATCCCAGCAGGCCCTAACAGTTAACGCATCACTAAAGAAATGTGTATTAACTATTTGTTGATTGTCTTCGACGATTGTTGCCTGCAATTAGGCCCTGTGGGGCTAGAACTGTGAAGACCACACTGGGCTGGTGTTTTGGAGCTAGACTTAAATTTGAATCATTCCTCGGCCTCTGACTACCTCTTGCCTTGGAAAAGTTACTTAACACATCCGAATCTCAGTTCTAACTGAAATAAAATGGTGTCAGACTGCATCTTACAGGGTTGCGGTAATGAGATAATACAGGAAATGCGTCTAGTACATGGTACTCAAAAATGGTAGTTATCATTATCATTATTTTGGAGACGGGGTCTCGCTGTCGTCCAGACAGGGGTGCAGTGGCCCGATCTCAGCTCACTGCAGCCTCCACGTCCCCGGCTAAAGTGATCCTTCTGCTTCAGCCTCCCGAGATGCTGGGGCCACCACGCCCGGCTCCGCTGTCGTTACTGCTGCTGATAGGTGTTTGGTATTTAATTGCCTCAGGGAGGAAAAAAAATTAAATATTATGAGGCAACCACATACAACCAGATCTCCTGACACGACGTCGGTGAGGCAGTCGTGATGAGTTTTACACTGTTACTCAAACGGTCTAAAAGCGATGAACACAAATTTACTGTCAGGCAATGGCTAGGAAACTGCGCTTCTAGGAATGAGGCCACGGTCAGCTGAGAGCCCGGCCTGCGGCCTTCGGTCCCCGTGCCACCGCGCAGCCCTCCCAGACGGTCCGCCGCCTTTCAGCTCGGGGCCAGGGGCGACGGACACACCGAGCCCGGCACAGGGAGGCCGGCAGGGCCCGCCCGGCGTCTAGCAGGGCCGAGAGCCCGATACCGCCGCCCAGGCCGCGGCCGCGACGTCCCAGCGCGTGCTCGCCCACCCACTCCAGGTCGCCAAGCACCACGCAGCCCGGCGTTGACTCCCTGCCCAGACCCGGGGCTACCGGGCCCGGAACCCGCCCTACCTCCATAACTTCCGGCGCCTCGCTGAGGCGCGCGTGAATGACGCAGGCGCCTGCCTGCCGCGTCTCCAGGAGTCTTGGCGCCTGGGCGGGCACTTCCGGCCGCTAGAAGCGCAGTGCTAGACTCCAGGTCTCGCGAGAGTGGCTGGGGCGTTTGACAGCCTGAGGAGAAGGGGAGGCGGTGGGCGTCTGAGAGAACAGAGCAAGATGGAGAAGCGAGCCCGAGGCGTGAAGCCGGGCGTCAACCAAACCTTGAACCAGACCCCTCAGCAGGCGCCGCTGGCCCTTAGGAAAGAGAGAAGGCCTAGCATGTTCGAGAAGGAGGCAGTGAGTGCGGACACGGCCAGGGGCCCGAGACGGCCCTGTCCGACCCTTTAACTGAAATCGCTCCTCAGTGGGCCCCGCTCCTGACACCAGTCCCAGAGCCAAGGAGGCAGCATTTCCCTTTTCTGTTTCTTTTTTCCCCCAGATGTAAAATTGAAGACCGACACCGAGTTGGGCGGTCCCCTTTGGACTTCAGTGCTAAGGTTTTCTTGGTTGTTTTAATTAGGGCCATAGAACCCTACGTAAATCGATTGGAAGGGTGGTTACAAGATCACCTGCAGTCCTTTTCAGATTTACTCAGCTTGCGGATTTCCTGAGACTACTCTGAGCATTATTGCTTTATTAAAAGACATTATGTTAGTGTATCTAGTGCCATCCTACGCAGTTTTGCTAGGGAAAAATGAGTGTATGCTGTATTTTTTTTTAAAAATGGATAAACCAGGCAGAATAGTGCCGTGTTTAGGGTCTTTAAAAACATAAGCAGTCTGGATATTTGAAGAATATACAGGAGAAAAAAAACAAGTTGAACGTATTCTGTCCAAAACTTATTGTCTGGTATTGATGGAAAGGGTCATTGTTCAGTTTTATTGGTGGTATAACACAGGTATTTCTATATGATTATGCTTTGAAAACCGTTAATGTGTTCAAGACTCCATCTTTTGTTGATACTTTAACAGAAAACTAGTTTGCCCAAAAATACAAACCTGTAATGATAGAGCTGGGACCAGAACTTGTATCCTGGTGCTCAGTCCACTTGGCCTGTGCTGATTTCTTTTCATACTTATTTCATGGACCTTTAATAGGATGAAAACAGATAACAAGCAAAACAATTTTTGAAGACCCTGAAACAGTTTAAGAATACTCTCAAATAGAGAATTCTCAAAATAAGTAATGGCAAAATTTCAGGTTCTAATGTTTCCTTGGTGTCTAAATTTTAGAGAGGAATGAATGAACTAAAGGACGAAAAGTAAACAGGCCAAGTTTACACAGCTAAGAAAAAAAGCAGGGCAGGGCTAGACCCCTAAATCAGCTGGACTTGAAACTTCACACTCCCAAACACTATACTGTATTGCTTGGCAATAAGTCTGAGTAACAGGTCACCAACAGTAAAGAAAAATTTCTGTATATTCAGGCAGACAAGGGTGACTTTTATAAACTGCCTATTTGAGGTCTGAAGTGGTCTTTAAAATTTAGTGAGCCTGAACTCAAAATGAGGAGACATAAAGATGCACTTGGTATATAGGCTAAAACCTGGGAGTGAGGGGACATGGACCAAAGTAGTTACTGCTTATTTGATATGGATGTGATCAATTATGGCTACTTTAAAGTTGAGTCTTATACAGGCGAGAAATTTGAATAGAACAATAATTGGGAAGACATTGAGAAAGGATTCTACAAAAAACTCACTAAATGTACCTGAGGAAACTGTGCACTTAGTCATTTCTAATTTAAGATAGCTTTTAATTTTCCCATTTCTGAGCATGGAAAAATTAAGACATACCGTTTAACCAATGACTGTCTCTTGATTTTATCTGTTTTGCCTCCATTTCCTTTTTTCTAGTGGTAGCACGTTGGTAACTTTTAGGGAATTAACTCATCTGCAATTGTATAGAGCTTTGATGAGATTGTCAGCTACTTTCCTTGACTTTGGAATGAGGATGAAACCCAAACTAAGCTAATTAGATGAATTCTTTGAAATAATGCAAAGAAAATGATTGAGGTTGAAGATGAGAAGCTAAAGTGCTCCATGTGTCTTTCTGAATCTGGTTCATCGACCTTCTCTGCTGTTATGTAAACTGTATCTTTCCAATAAATTACGCTTTTGCTTAACAAAGAATGAGTTCCTGTTGTTGTGATCAAAGGTCACAAAAATGCAAAGTAGATTACTCAAAATGGAAAACTTTGTTCTTTCTTGTGCACGTGCATTTGAAAATCTTAAACACAGCTGGGTGCAGCGGCTCACACCTGTAATACCACCACTTTGGGAGGCCAGGGTGGGCAGAACACCTGAGGTCAGGAGTTCAAAACTAGCCTGGCCAACATGGCAAAACCTCGTCTCTACTAAAAATACAAAAATTAGCTGAGTGTGGTGGTGGGCACCTGTAATCCCAGCTACTCAGGGAGGCTGAGGCACGAGAATCGCTTGAACCTGGGAAGAGGAAGTTGCAGTGAGCCGAGATTGTGCCAGTGCACTCCACCTGGGTGACAGAGTGAGACTCCATCTCAGTAAAGAAAAGAAAAAGGGAAACAATCTTAAACACTAGCTTGTGGAATTTAGAAATAAAAGTAATATGCCCAAGCTCATTTTATTTTAGGACCATGTGTAGGCTTAATATGAGGAAATGCTACATCAGTAGAAACTCAAGTATTATTAGATGCCAAAAAGTTGATCATATTTAAAGCCTATTCCTAATTTTAAAAAAGATTATAAAGATTCTTAATAAAAAGAATAAAATACGCTTCATCTTAGAAGCATTAATGGTTATTTTCAGGTCACACATGAATGTCCCATTTCCTTGAGAATCATTGCAGTTGAGAGCCACTGTTAATGATAGTACGTATGTAGTTGTATCCCTTGAGTATATTGTATAGGAAAGGAAGGTCCCAATCACTGCCCTAGAAAAGCATTCTTTTAATAAATAAGAACAAAACGATTTTGTTTTTAAGAGGTTTAGGGAGCTAATAATGCTGCTTCTGGAAATAAGAGGCACAGAAACCTGACAGATGATCACAGCAGGAGATTTATTTCTGGTGAGCGACTTTTACTTGCAGCCAATATGGAGTAATTCTTAACCGTAAACTACTTAACACACAAAAATATATGGAGCAATTGTTTCCATTGATTGGGTGTCAGGCAGGACAAGAGAGTAATTTCTGAGAGATGAGAAACAGGTAAGGTGAGCTCCCATATTGACCCCACTTTAATTGCCTGGGGAGAGTTTCCAGGCTACAACACAGGAAAGGCCTCCTTTAGTTCAAAAGGAGTTGGGAGCCCGGGAAGCCAAGATAGCATGAGACTGGAGAGCAGAGTACTAGGACAGGGCTGCACAAATCACCCCAAAGATCTACAGAGGGTTTCCCTGAGTATTCAGCTAAGTGCAGCAGTGCATCTGGTAAGGAAAGTTCTCACCAGAGATGGAGAGTGGAAGTAGAGAAAAATCACCTAAAAGGAACAGAAAAAAAATCCTTGGACGTGTTCCCACCAGAAAAAGTGGAAACCATGAAAAATATAGAGCTTTGGTTAGAGTGCTATGAAGTGTATTTTGCCTCATTAGTGGGAAAAAAGTAAGAGAATAATTTCTCTGATCTGGCCTATCAAGGCTGAGAAGCAAGACTCAAGAGGATTAAACTGTTTCCAAATGTCTTTGTTCTAGAAGAAAGCTCAAGAGTTTTAGGAATACAAAAACATCCAGCCTATAAGAAGGTAAAATTTCACACTATCTGGTCTCTAAACAGTAACAGACCTGCAGAGAAGCAGGAAAATGAAATTCAAAATAGAAGAAACAGTAAAAACAGCCCAGGAATTACAGAAAAAATAGTATAAACAGACATTAGTTATGAGAGTTACTAGTTTTCATCAAATCAAATCTTACATTATATTTAAGAGTGTAGAGAAATATTTAGCATGTTAAATGCAAATCAAACTTCTGTAGATGAAAAATACTATGTCAGGGATGAAAATACACTAAACGGTATTAACAGCAGATTCAACAGTGCAGAAGAAAGGACAGAGACACAGAAATTGCTGGGAAAATATTATAAGATGTCAATGAACTTTGACAGAACTTAAAGTAGCCTAATGATAATTTGAGTCCCCAAATGAGGTAAGAGAGGACAGACGAAAAGTATTTGAAGAAATTACTTTGAAGAAAGGGATGAGAAATTTCCAAATTTGATGAAAACTACAAACCTACAAATCTAAGAACCTCAGTGAAATCCAAGCACAAGACATGAAGAAAATTATACCAGGACATACAATAATAAAATTGCTTGAAACCAGTGATTTAAAAATTTAAAAGCAACTAGAGCAAAGCAACATTATGTACATAGAAACAGACAAAATGACAGTGTACTTCTCAGAAACAATGCAAGACAGAAGACATTGAAGCATCATCTTTAAGGACTGAAAGAAAATAACTATCCACCTAGAATTCTATACTCAGCTAAAATATCATTCAAAAAACAAATATAAGACTTTCAGCTTCTTGTTCTACATGTGAGGGACTTAAAGCTTCTACTATGTCCTAACAAGTATAAAGCTGAACAAACTGAAAAAATTAACTCTTCTTAGATCCATAAGAGAAGTGAAGTCACAGGACAAACTGCTATCCCCAAAAGTAGAGTGACAAGCAGCAGTTTGCTCTGTGTTTGCATGACTTAAGCCTTAGCCAGCCTGTATGACTTAAGCAAGTAGGAGAAAAAAATGCAGAAAACTCAGAAGCATCAGTGAAGTTCACAGTCCAGAAGCACAGGTTCACTAAAAGACCTAGTCATAGAATTATAGAATGCTTCCTCTCTGCTAATACCTTACCAGGACATTACTAGAGGCCTTATTACAGCAGTTTCTTTACCCAGTGAAACATGTCTAGCTATCATGAAGAAAATTAGGCATACTAAAAAACAACAACAAAGACACAAAGTAAGCATCGGAACCAGACATAGCAGGGATGTTGGAATTATCAGACAGAATTTAAGATAACTATAATTAGCTGGGCACGGTGGCTCACGCCTGTAATCCCAGCACTTTGGGAGGCCGAGGCAGGTGGATCACGAGGTCAAGAGATCGAGACCATCCTGGTCAACATGGTGAAACCCCGTCTCTACTAAAAATACAAAAAATAGCTGGGCATGGTGGCACGTGCCTGTAGTCCCAGCTACTCGGGAGGCTGAGGCAGGAGAATTGCCTGAACCCAGGAGGCGGAGGTTGCGGTGAGCCGAGATCACGCCATTGCACTCCAGCCTGGGTAACAAGAGTGAAACTCCATCTCAAAAAAAAAAAAAAAAAAAGATAACTATAATTAATATGTTAAAAGGCTGTAGTTGATAAAATAGCATGCAAAAACAGATGAGCAATGTAAGCACAGAAATGGAAATCCTAAGAAATAGAAATGCTAGACACCAAAAACACTGTAACAAAAGAAGAAATCTCAAAAGAAATTTAAAAAATATTTTGAGCTAAGTAAAAATGAAAACATCAAAATTTGTAGAATGCAGCAAAAACAGGGCTTGGAGAAAATGTATAGTATTAAATGTATGCACATATTAGAAAAGAAAGAGCTAAAATAATATAAGGTTCTACTTTAAGAAACTAGAGCTGGGCGCGGTGGCTCAAGCCTGTAATCCCAGCACTTTGGGAGGCCGAGGCGGGTGGATCACGAGGTCAAGAGATCGAGACCATCCTGGTCAACAAGGTGAAACCCCGTCTCTACTTAAAATAAAAAAAGTTAGCTGGGCATGGTGGTGCGTGCCTGTAATCCCAGATACTTAGGAGGCTGAGGCAGGAGAATTGCCTGAGCCCAGGAGGCGGAGGTTGCGATGAGCCGAGATCGCACCATTGCACTCCAGCCTGGGTAACAAGAGCGAAACTCCATCTCAAAAAAAAAAAAAAAGAAACTAGAAAAAGAAGAAATTAAATCCAAAGTATGCAGAAGGAAAGAAATAATAAAAATTATAGCCAAAATTGATGAAATTGAAATCAGATACCAACAAAACCAAAACCTTTTCCTTTGAAAAGATCAATAAAATCTATAAGCCTCTAGCCAGGTTAAGAAAGAGAGGACACAAATTACTAATAGCAGAAATGCAAGTCAGGATGTTGCTGGAAATTTTATAAACACCAAAAACATAATAAAATAATATTATGAACAATTCTGTGCCCAGAAATTTGGTAGTGTAGATGAAATGGATCAATTCCTTGAAAGATGCAGTCTCCCAAATCTTATAAAAAAGAAATAGATAATCTGAATAAGCCTGTATCTGTTTTTAAAAATTGAATCAATAACAACCTTCCAAAGCAGAATCACCAGGTTCAGGTGATTTCCTTGGTGAATTCTACCAAGCATTTAAGGAAAGATATGTATCAATTATCTACAATCTCTTTCAGAAGAAAAAAGCAGAAAGAATACAGTCTAACTCATTTTATGAAGTCAGCATTACCCTAATAGCAAAGGCAGATGAAGACACCACAAGAAAAGCAAACTACAGACCTGTGTCATATGTTAACACTGATGCAAAAATTCTCAACAAAATACTGGCAAAAAGTCAGCATTTTATATAAAGGATCTGACACCAAGACCAAATGAAATTTGTTCCTGGAATGCAGGGATGGTTCAACAGATGAAAACTGATCAAGGTAATACACCACTTTAACTAAATGAAGAAATAAACCACATGATCAATCTCAACTGATGAAGAAAAAGCATATGTCAAATTCAACACTTTTTTTTATTATAAAAACATCCAACAAACTAGTAATAGGAGGGAACTTCTTCAACATAGTAAAGGCTCTGTATGAAAACTGCACAGCAAACATCATACTTGATGGGGAAAGACTGAAAGCTTTTCCTGTAATACTAGTAACAAAGCAAGGATGTCCATTTTTGCCATTTCTTTTCAACATAGAACTGGAAATTCTAGCCAAGCAATTAGGCAAGAAAAGAAAATTCCTGGCTATTAACAAAATGAGGCTCACTGCTTTAACTTAAGAGGCTAGAGCATTTATCTGGGACATATTAGGCACTAAATAAATATTTCATTAATGCATATTGGATGTCACAGAATGGATGTTTCATGTCAAAAGCATGAACTGAGTATATGTAGAATCAATGCACTTTTGGTGCTTTTTCAGCTTAAGACTTATGAATGTGCTACCTAAATACTTTTATTATTTAAAGATGGGTAAATAAAGTAAAATAAAATTTTAGGACAATGAAGGATAATATTTTCATAATCTCAGGGTACGGAGGAAGAAAGGTTTTCCCTATGTCTTCAACCCATAGCCACTCAGTTGCCTTCCTTGAAGGCCACTCGTTTCTAGTTCCTTTGAATCATCCATGGTCTTTCGCCAAATTGATAGCCAGGAGTGAATCTAGGATTTAGTAACTACATTATTGTAGAAATCTGTTTAACAGATTTCTAATATTTCCAAGCTTTGTGTGAGACTTGTCCCACTGTACAGTGTTCTTTAATCTAAAATCTAATTTTACAGTTTAAAAATTAATATTTTCTCCCCTTCTCTCTTCCCCTCTTTCTCCTCCAGTATGCACAGATTTTGAGAGAAAGACTGAGAGAGTCAATTCATGATGTTCAGTATGTGGAGCCTCCTTTTGATGACTCAATTGCTGATATAGGTAAAGAATGGAAGAGTGCCCTGGCAAAATTAAAGTTTGCTAATTCATACAGAATGGAGCCAGTGAAGAAATTCCAAGCTCATTCAGTAGAAACTAAAGTCCAGCAGATACTAACAGTAGGTTGATAAATATATGATAGCAGTATTGTATGAGGGTTATATATATATAATCTCTTTCTTTGAAGATTTCTTCATACGTGTGTGTGTGTGTATATATGTGTGTGTGTGTGTGTGTGTGTGTGTGTGTGTGTGTGTGAATAAATGCCTCCATATATATATATACATATACATATGGAGATATTTATTCCAGGAATTGGCTCAGGCAATTGTCATTAGAACCAGAAGCATTGTGTCATTGGTGCAGGCACAACAAGTCAGTTAATTAAAGATGTGTAGTCTGCATGCTAGGTGTCCAGTTCTGCTCCTGGTTTGTAAGAATGTATAATGTTTTCCAGCCCACTAGCCATGTCCATTTCCTTCAAGCTATACATTAATTTATTAATAAACATTGTTAGAAATCTTTAATTTCACTTTCCTAGAGGCCAAAGAGAAAAATCAGTGGAGTGAGAGGCTACAGGGGAGGGTTAGAAAGTAGTTTTAATGTAAGCCCATTGAGCAGCACAGTGACTTGGTACAGGTTCTGAGTCCAAGTAGTCTTCACTATAAGAAAACCAAAATATGAATTTTAATAAATGTATCAATTTTAAAACGTTTCTTTCCTTTACCTAAGAATTTCTAGAAGTCTTCTTCAAAAAAAATCTTTTTGTGTCTCTCTATTGTTTGTTAGAGTAGTAAATTACAACTTACAGCTTATGTTGATAATGAAAAGTAATTGAACATAATTTGAAAACCAAAATAAATATTTCTCAAAACTGTTACTGAAATAGGTAAGCATATATATATATATATTTTTTTTCTTTTTTTTTCTTTTTTTTTTTTTTTTTTTTAGACGGAGTTTTGCTCTTGTTACCCAGGCTGGAGTGCAATGGCGCGATCTCGGCTCACCGCAACCTCCACCTCCTGGGTTCAGGCAATTCTCCTGCCTCAGCCTCCTGAGTAGCTGGGATTACAGGCACGTGCCACCATGCCCAGCTAATTTTTTGTATTTTTAGTAGAGACAGGGTTTCACCATGTTGACCAGGATGGTCTCGATCTCTTGACCTCGTGATCCACCCGCCTCGGCCTCCCAAAGTGCTGGGATTATAGGCGTGAGCGCTCGGCCTTTTTTTTTTTTTTTTTTTTTTTTTTGAAACTGAGTCTCGCTCTTGTTGCCCAGGCTGGAGTGCAATGGTGGGATCTTAGCTCACCGAAATCTTTGCCTCCCGGGTTCAAGTGATTCTCTTGCCTCAGCCTCCCAAATAGCTGGGATTACAGGTGCCTGCCACCATGCCCAGCTAATTTTTTGTATTTTTAGTAGAGATGGGGTTTCACTGTTGGTCAGTCTAGTTTCGAACTCCTGACCTCAGGCAATCCACCCACCTCATCCTCCCAAAGTACTGGGATTACAGGTGTGAGCCACTGTGCCTGGCCTAAAATTTATTTAATGTTATTTAGTGAAGAATATATTTATTTTTAAAACAGTTATATATATTATTTAGATACGTTTTCTGCTTGAATTTTTATGTATAGAGAATATTTGGTTTGAAAATAAAAGTATTTTTCTTAAATTTTCTTGAAGGAAAGTCTTAAAGATGTCAAATATGATGATAAAGTCTTCTCTCACTTGTCACTCGAATTGGCAGACCGCATACTGTTAGCGGTCAAAGAATTTGGGTACCACCGTTATAAGTTCATTATAAAAGTATTATTCATTCAAAAGACTGGCCAAGCAATAAATGTAAGTACCCCATTGATACAGAATCTAGCAATTAAGGCATCTCTCTCTAGTGATTTGATTTTCATTGTGATGACTCAAAGGTACGCCATTGATTCTGAGGTACCTTTTGAATGAAATTATCATTTTGGTAAATATATTTATTTCACTGTAAATTATTTCAAAAGTACAAACCAGCAGGGTGCATTGGCTCATGCCTGTAATCTCAACGTTTTGGGAGGCTGAAGCAGGTGGATCACCTAAGGTCAGGAGTTTGAGACCAGTCTGGCCAACATGGTGAAGCCCCATCTCTAATAAATTCAAAAATTAGCCGGGCATGGTGGTAATCCCAGCTACTCAGGAGGCTGAGGCAGGAGAATCACTTGAACCTGGGAGGTGGAGGTTGCAGTGGCCTGTGATCATTGCACTGTACTCCAGCCTGGGCAACAAAATGAGACTCCATCTCAAAAAAAAAAAAAAAAAAAAAAGAAAGAAAGAAAAAGAAAAGTACAAACCTAGAAGTGGCAATTTGGTACTAATAATTTATTAAATTGCATGGTTATTCTATTCCTTGATCATATCAGTTTTGACAGTGTAATGTCATTTAAGTTAATTAATCAACACATTTATTTTGGGCACTAATGGGTGTTAGGTACTAAGGAAAATACAAGGAATGATAATGATAAAGGAAAATACAAGAATGATTCTCAAGGAGTTTTTACTCTAGTTAAGGAAATAAAACAGCACAATTTAGAATTTAAGGAACTAAAATGATAGGGATAATGTAAACAGCCTGGGTTCTGGAGTCAGATTGCCTCTGCAACACTTGCTGGCTGTGGCCTCAGCACAGTTTCTTCATCTATAAAATGGTGATGATAAAACTGGTTTCCAGCCGGGCGCGGTGGCTCACGCCTGTAATCCCAGCACTTTGGGAAGCCGAGGCGGGTGGATCACTAGGTCAAGAGATCGAGACCATCCTGGTCAACATGGTGAAACCCCATCTCTACTAAAAATACTAAAAAAAATTAGCTGGGCATGGTGGCGCGTGCCTGTAATCCCAGCTACTCAGGAGGCTGAGGCAGGAGAATTGCTTGAACCCAGGAGGTGGAGGTTGCGGTGAGCTGAGATCGCGCCATTGCACTCCAGCCTGGGTAACAAGAGTGAAACTCCGTCTCAAAAAAACAAACAAACAAACAAACAAAAAAAATGGTTTCCTAGAGCTGTTGTGAAGATTAAATGAAATTATCTGTATTAAAATCCTTAACATAACAGCACAGAGCCCTCAATAAACAGCAAGGTAATTATTAACATTATTTATTAATAAAAAGATAATATCACTAGGCTGTATAATTACCTAAGGAGTTGATAATGAATATGTGGGAGTTGGAGAGAAAAGCCAGAAAAAATTGTGTTTGGAGGAATCTGTAGAGGTTCCATGCAGGAGTGGACTGCGTGATGAAGCATGGGGAAGGGGACCTGGACTGGTAGAGGAGTACTGGTGAGGGAAGAGTCAGCAAGAAATAACTGTCCTGGCTCCCATGGAGAACAGAAGCTGCACCACATATGACATACACACTTAAGAAATAGGGGTGTTCTACATGATAAGCACCACAAAGAGAACATTAAAGTAGGCATATGACAGAGGATCAGAGTGGCTATTTGGGATTCTTTAGAGAAGGGAAAACCCTCTGATGTCCAGATAAGAAGGAACCAGCTGTACCAAAGAGGAGGGAGTATGTTTCAAGCAGAGAAAAATTCGAGTGCAAAGATCCTGAGGCAGGGATGAGTTGGTGTGCTTGATATGTAATGTGGAGCTGGACTAGTAGCAAGTAGAGAGTGGCATGATGCAGAGTGGGCGAATGTTTCAGCTTAGATTATTGCACAAAAAACCACCCCAGAACTCAGTAGTTTATAACAACAGCGCTGCATTTGCTTACTTTCTGTGAGTCAGCTTGGTCTGGGTCAGTTACCTGGCCTTTCTGCTGGTCTCACTGATGTACTTGTAGCCATCTCATGACTTACCTAGGCCTGCAGGTGCAAGATGGCTTCTCTCACTTGTCTGGATATTGGGCTAGCTGTGGGCTGGGCACCTGGGTTCTTCTGCATGTGAGCCAGCATCCTCCAGTAGATTGAGTGGGCTTTCTTAACATGGGAGTCTCAGTATAGCATTCCATGAGCATAAGATCAGAAGCTACAAGACCTCTGAAGGCCTTGCTTGGAAGGTTCAGTGTCATATTTTGCAACTCATAGCAAGTAACAAGGCCAAGTCTTATTCACAGAGTGGGGACATAAAGTCAACTTCTTAATAGGAGAAGCCATAAAGAATTTGGGCCATTTTCAGCCAGATGTGGTGGCTCACACTTGTAATCCCAGCACTTTGGGAGGCCGAGGCAGATGGATCAACTGAGATCAGGAGTTTGAGACCAGCCTGAAACTCCGTCTCTACTAAAAATACAAAAATTAGTTAGACATGGTGGCAGACACCTGTAATCCCAGCTACTCAGGAGTCTGAGGCAGGAGAATCACTTGAACTCAGGAGGCAGAGGTTGCAGTGAGCCAAGATCATGCCATTGTACTCCAGCCTGGGAAACAAGAGTGAAACTATGTCTCAAAAAAAAAAAAAAAAAAAGAATTTGGGCCATTTTAGAATTTTAGATCCTCCACAAATAAGTCAGCTGGAGTCAGATCACATATGAATTTGTATATGGAGAAAAGTAGTTAGAATTGTCTTAGAATTTTCTGTTACAGCCTACTTGTATAATGAATGCCATTTTTTCATTTCAAGGCAAGGTTCTGACAAACTTTTTGACTGAAAATCTTTAAAGGGTGAGAAAACTTCCTTGTCCTGCACTACATGACAGAGTTACACTGTATTCAGAGCCACTATGCCCCCATTCCCAGGTACCTTCTGCTTCTGGCCCTGGAAACACTGCTAAGGGAACCTCTCTCTCTGTTTTAGAGAAAGGCCGGCCTCCAGTAAAGAAGACGGATGAGTGGGGGCAGTGTCATTCTCCAGTCTCTTTATGAAAGGGAAAACCAGACAAATTACATATTAAAAATAATTTCTGAGATACTGATGCACTCATTTTTTAAAAACAAGTGCAGATTTGAAAATTACTTCTTAACATATTCATTTAAAATTGGCCTTTAAAAAAACTCTCTCACAGATTGCCAGCAGATGGATCTGGGACATTGCATGGGACAGCTGGGTCGCAGCGAAACACGAAGCAGAATCCTACATGGCACTGGTCTTGGTGTTTGCCCTTTATTATGAATAGATCATTACAGGTACTAAGGAGTGTTTACCTCTGAACTTTTAAAAAATAAATGAAATTTATATATTTGTGAATCTCATAATAGTTCTAATTTGCTATATTTTTATTTCTAATTGAGGCGTTTTAATTATATTAACAACAAAGTAGAAGCTAGATTTTTACATTTATACTTACTAACGTAATATTACCCCAAAGTAGTATAAAAGAGGTGTGTGTGTCTGTGTGTGTATGTATGTATGCATATACAAATTCTTATAGCAGAATATAGGGAAAATATCACTTTTGTAAGATTTAAGAAAATTGTAATTTGCTACAGGAAATTAAAATGCAATTTTGGAAAGCATCAAATTCAGTAGATGTTAAGATAGATTTTGGAAATTCCTAATGATATTTTAATACTTTGTATTCATTCTTTTGAAAGAAATTACCAAGTTTGAAAGAAAGATGTTATATATTTCATAATTCCCTACTATCCTCCCTCTCCAACCAAACTGCTTACAAATGTGTAGTCAATTTACTAATCTGTTAGACTCTGTTAGTCAGGCTCTGTGAGCCTGTCAGTCTCTTTTTTTAGATGCAAGAACTGAAAGCTGATTATAATTGTTTAAAGAAATGAGGAAAATGTTGTTTCCCAGGGATTTGATTAAGGATCCAGATTCTATCCAACTTCCCACTCTCCCCACAGACTTCCACATACATTAATTTTACTTGACAGAATTTAATCATCTTCCCATGACAAGACCAGTCATAATTCCCTCCTTAGGTTTGGGGCTGGAGCCTACCCTTCTTGAAGCACGAGATCATGTGAAAATTGTGGATACTGCTCAGGTACAATGGTTCACTCCTGTAATCCTAGACATGGGAAGGCCAAGGTGGTAGGATTGCTCTAGCCCAGGAATTTGAGACCAGCGTGAGCAACATGCTGAGACTCCACCTCTAAAAACAAAAAGGGTGAGAAAATTGTGGATCCAGTGTACAAATTGGGATTCTTCTAGCAAGGAGGCAGGGTATGGACTTGTGGGAAGCAAGCAATAATGTCTGTGATAATCAGTATGATTTTCTTTTTTTTTTTTTTTTTTTTTTTGAGACGGAGTTTCGCCCTTGTTACCCAGGCTGGAGTACAATGGCGCGATCTCGGCTCACTGCAACCTCCGCCTCCTGGCCTCAGGCAATTCTCCTGCCTCAGCCTCCTGAGTAGCTGGGATTACAGGCACGTGCCACCATGCCCAGCTAATTTTTTGCACTTTTTTAGTAGAGACGGGGTTTCACCATGTTGACCAGGATGGTCTCGATCTCTCGACCTCGTGATCCACCCGCCTCGGCCTCCCAAAGTGCTGGGATTACAGGCTTGAGCCACCGCGCCCGGCCAGTATGATTTTCATCATTACAGGTGAAAACAACCATTGACCAGTAAATATTGACCACTAAAAATACCTATTAGTTCAGTTATCTACAAACAAAAAGATAAAAATAGCAGAAGAGGATTTTTTTTTTCCATTTAGGTTTGATAATGAGTTGGTTTATTCCTGCCTGAATAGATCCAAGTGGAGTTTCACTGAGAAAGTGCATGCAAGTTTGGCCAGAATTATTCTCAGGAAATAACTCCAGCTCCCTTTTGCTGCCTTGTGAAGAAGTTGCCTTGCTTTCCCTTTGCCGTGAGCCATGATTGGAAGTTTCCTGACGCCTTCCCAGCCCTGCAGAAACTAGGAGCAGGGCCAAGATGACTGACTGGAAGCAGGGTCATATTGGAGGCTCCTATTGAAAAAAACATAAGCATGTGAATTCTTCACTGGCAACCAAGGAACCCAGGTTCTCTCATCAAAATGGACTAGAAGGCTGGCGTGACCCACAGAGAGAAGGAAGAGTAGTGTGGTCCTGCAGCCTACCTGAGAGTCACAGGAGGAAGGGGAACCCCCTCCTTCGCCCCCTAGCCAAGGGAGACAATGAGTGAGTGTGCTACCCAGCTGGGGAAACTGCTTTTTCCACAGAACTGTGCAACCCACGGATCGCAAGATCCCACTCACGAACACATGCCACTGGGGCTTAGCATCACAACCCTGGAACACACAGATTCTTACAGCCTCTCAGCTGGAATCTGCTTAAGCCTACTTCCCAGGGGAAGGGGTGACCAACAGTGGCTATGGCTGCCTGCTGTTTAAGCCATTTGAGCTCCTTGTGGTAGGGGCAGCAGCCAGCACTGGGACTCACAACTCCTTAACATGCTAAACTACTGGGTGGGGGAAGGGTGGCACCCATTTCTATAGCTCAAGGCTATGGTTTTCCCCTGCTGTATCCAGTGAGGCTGGACAGTTTGGTTCCAAGACTTGTCCCCACAACCCAGCACACCAGCTGTGGCAGTCTGTGGCTAGAGTGCCTCTTCAGGTCTAACCCTGACCCATCCTTCCTCAGTGGGTGAGCCTTCCCTGCAGCATCTCCAATAGCTCCAGCCAGAGGCTCAGGGACAGAATTCTGATCTCCCTAGGCCTGAGCCCCTAGCATGAGGGGTGGCTGCAGTCTCTGCAGACCAGCAGACTTAGCTTCTCCTCATGGTAGTTCTGAGCAATCCAGGCAGCCCAGATGAGTGGGTTTCCCCACAGTGAAACACACCCTCTCTACCAAGGGACAAAGTGCTTCATTAAATGGGTCCTGCTCCCCATGCCACCCAACTAGGTGAGACCCTCCAACAGGGGTTGTCAGAAACCCTAAACAAGAGCTATCCTACTGTCATCAGGTTGAAGCCCCTTGAAATTAGACATCCCAGAAGAAGAAGCAGGCACCCATCTTTGTTGCTCTACCTCCTTGAGTGACACCTCCAGGCACGTCAGTGAATCAGATGAGTAAGGCCTGAAGTGAACTCCCAGCAAACTGCAGCAGCTCTACCAACAGAAGAGGGACTTGACTATTTAAAGAAAAACAAACAAGCAGAAGCAACAACAGTAGCATCAACAACAAAAAAGTCCTCCACAAAAACCCCATCCAAGGGTCAGCAGCCTCAAAGATCAAAACTAGACAAACTCATGAAGATGAGAAAGCATCAATGAAAAAAATGCTGAAAACCCAAAAGGCCAGAGTGCCTCTTCTCCTCCAAATGATTGCAACATCTCTCCACTAAGGGTACAGAACTGGATGGAAGATTAGATGGATGAATTGACAGAAGTAGACTTCAGAAGAAGGTTAATAAAAAACTATGATGAGCTAAAGGAGCATGTTCTAACCAGATGCAAAGAATTTTGATAAAAGGTTAGCAAAATTGCTAACTAGAATAACCAGTTTAGAGAGGAACATAAACAACCTGATGGAGCTGAAAAACACAGCATGAGAGCTTCGTGAAGCATACACAAGTATCAATAGCCAAATCAACCAACTGGAAGAACGTGTATCAGACTTTGAAGACCACCTTACTGAAATAAGAAATACAGACAAGACTAGAGAAAAATGAATGAAAAGGAATGAACAGAGCCTCTAAGAAATATGCGACTTCATAAAAAGACCAAACCTGTGATTGATTGTAGTACCAGAAAGAGATAGGGAGAATGGGAACAAGCTGGAAAACACACTTCAGGATATTATCCAGGAGAACCTCCCCAACCTAGCAGGACAGGCCAACATGCAAATTCAGGAAATACAGAGAACACCATTAAGATACTCCATGAGAAGATCAACCTCTAAGACACATAATCATCAGATTCTCCGAGGTTGAAATGAAGGAAAAACTGTTAAGGGCAGACAGAGCGAAAGACCAGGTCACCTACAAAGGGAAGCCCATCAGACTAACAGTGGACATCTCAGCAGAAACTCTCCAAACCAGAAGAGATTGGGGGCCAATATTCAACTTCTTAAAGAAAATAATTTTCAACCCAGAATCTCATATCCAGCCAAACTAAGCTTCATAAGCGAAGGAGAAATAAAATCCTTTCCAGACAAGCAAATGCTGAGGGATTTTGTTACTACCGGGCCTGCTCTGCAAGAACTCCTGAAAGAAGCACTAAATATGGAAAGTAAAAACCAGTACCAGCCACTGCAAAACACACCACAATATAAAAACCAATGACACTATGAAGAAACTGCACCAACTAGTATGGAAAATAATCAAATAGCATCATGATGACAGGATCAAATTCACAGATAACAATACTAACCTTAAATGTAAAGGGGCTAAATGCCTCCAATTAAAAGACACAGAATAGCACATTGCATAAGGAGTCAAGACCCGTCGGTATGCTGTATTCAGGAGACCCATCTTACATGCAGTGACACGCAGGCTCCAAATAAATGTATAGAAGAAAATTTACCAAGCAAATGGAAAGCAACAACAAAAAATAAAAAATAAAAAATAAAAAGCAAAAAAAAAAGAAAAGCAGGGGTTGCGATCCTACTCTCTGACAAAACAGACTCAAAACTGACAAATCAAAAAGACAAGGGAACTACATAATGGTAAAGGGAACAATTCAACAAGAGCTAAGTATTCTGAATATATATGCACCCAATACAGGAACACCCAGATTCATAAAACAAGTTCTTGGAGAACTATAGAGAAACTTAGACTCCCACACAGTAATTGTGGGAGACTTTAACACCCCACTGTCAGTATTAGACAGATCAATGAGACAGAAAATTAACAAGGATATTCAGGACTTGAACTCAGCTCTGGATCAAGTGGACCTAGTAGACATCTACAGAACTCTCTACCCTAAATCAACAGAACATACTTTCTTCTCAGTGCCACATAGCACTTAGTCTAAAATTGATCACATAATTGGAAGTAAAGCACTCCTCAGCAAATGCAAAAGAACTGAAGTCATAACACACAGTCTTTCACACCACAGTGCAATCAAATTGGAACTCAGGATTAAGAAACTCACTCAAAACTACACAATTTCTTTTCTTTCTTTTTTTTTTTTAAGATGGAGTCTCACTCTGTTCCCCAGGCCAGGCTGGAGTACAATGGCAGGGTCTGGGCTCACTGCAACCTCTGCCTCCCAGGTTCAAGCAGTTCTCCGGCTTCAGCCACCTGAGTAGCTGGGACTACAGGTGTGTGCCACTACACCCGGCTAATTTTTGTATTTTTAGTAGAGACAG